GGAACTGACAGTCATGGGCTGCATTGTGTTTTGTCACACGGATTGTCAGCATTGTGGCGATTATCTAACTGCTAATGAGACAGCGGGCGTAAGCAAACGTCACCAATCAGAAGACATCTATTCAAACGCCCATCAGCCCCGATCGCATCATCATCGCAGCCTTTATGTGGTCTCGTGAAAGTCGTGCGTTTCTGTGGGAAAAAACCATGACGTAACTCTTTTATGTAATGACGTAACGAATTTCTATTTTCGTGATTGCATTCTACGGTTTCCAATTGTTTCTTTATGGTGAGTGACGTCATCGGAGTAAAGTCATATTTATTTTAGACGTAGAGCTGTGTGAATTAAATAATGCATAATTAGGTCCGTGGGTCCAAAGGTGATGGTTTAAATTGGTAAAAAGATATGCAAATCGGATAAAAAAATTATTAATACATTTGTGTGTAAGTATACTCTAAAATTCTAACAATGCATACATATCTATACTAATCTATAAAACAGTGATTTTTACGGATGTTCCGTTATAACTACTGAACCATGCATCCGATTGACTTGAAACTTGGTATCCATGTAGAAAATACATGTAGGTACTTAATGCAAAGGCTAATATTTATAATAGGAGTGTTGAACTCCCTGCACCAGTTGCGGGGGCGTTAATGATGAGAATCTTTGTGGGGGTGAGAAATAATAATGTTAATTTTAAATGCCCAGCGAAGCGGACGGGTACAGTTAGTTTGCTTATAATATCAGTTGTTTCGCGCGGACAGCCGTCAGTGACATACGTGCTATCAATTGCGTCCATCCAAATAAATAAATAAAAACCGAAGCTCGTAGACATCAAGATACACCTCCCGGGCCCACTTCGGGACGTTTCCTAAATCTTAAATGTAATAATCCAACAGCTGTTCCGCCCTTACCACTGGAATGCCTCACTGCATTGGTACGTTAACAACAAAAAGTAAGCTACTAACAATCGCACCAGTCGCTTCTATTTCCAGAAAAATATAACTGATTTTTCGAAATCGATTTTTATAATACAATAAAAAAAATCGATTTTTTTATAAGCAGAAAGAAGACATATTCTGGAATCAATTTATAGACTGACGAGCATTATAGCAAGCAAAACTGCTTAATTTTGTAAAGCCACAGATTATCGTTCACGACGAATACATTTTGTGCATATTATATTTTACATGTGTATACCGTGGTATACTCTTAGTACGGGTTATCCGTTGGATTCCAGGTCGCAGGTGTCCCGTGGTAACTGTAGATAACAACATGCTAATTCGTTCGCCACGGTAACAGCCAACGGTATGGTTGGACACGAGACTGATCTAGTAACTCGTTGCGTTACAACTTTGTATACTGTATACATACATATATCTATATATTATTAATACGTGAAGCAAAAATGGTGTACGCCTTTTTACAAAAATTGCGCGGACGGAGGAGAATGAAATTTCCCACACTTATAGAGAATATAGAGAAGGAATGCAGAATGCTAATCTTTTTTTTAAATTAGCATAAAAAATACATTAAATCAATGACAAAAACATGACACACACTACCATGTATTTGACACACACGCATTTCACTTCTTTTGTTTATTGTTAAAGTCTATAAGCAAATTGAGAATAAATTAATATTGTTTGTCTCTAATGTCATTTGTCAATAGTGTATGTATGTAGTCTTGACGAAATATATGATCATAGAAGTATAATAGTCTATGACAATAGAACCATAATAATGTTCAAGCTTATAATTTCAATTAACTATAGTCGAATTTCGATTACTGGGGGACAACTACTTAGTTGAAATAAATTAGGCAGTTATTGTTAGGTTAAGTTCTTCATTTGACAGAGCCGCGTGCTTTGAAATTGTGCTTCAAACAGTATAACAGTGCACGCAGATTTGTAATTAGTCCAGGTTTCGCGAATCGTAGATAGATAGTATCGATGGCTAATAAAAAAACGTGGGATTAAACCTTGAAAGTTTTAAATTTGTGCAGATCCTGTTTCCCGCTTCCGACAATTTTAGTAGGCTTTTAAAGTGTTTGAAATTTTTGAAATATTCGAGTCGAGTATATTATATGGTAGAATAGAGCCAGCCTTGCGTTTTTTTCCAATTCTTCACATTTGTGAAAAAACTTCATTCCGAATCGGTGGTAGGTTAATGACTGATTTTGAAACGTCCGAAATGGTATACTTGATTATAATATACAGAGTATATGCCCTACGATCATACGGTACAAAGTAATTTACGTATGCAGATTTTAGTTTTAATAAAGTTAACTAGTTACATAAATACTCATTCTACACGCGTGCGCATAACCATAAAAGAACTTTAGAATTGTTTTGAAACAAGCACGGGGATTTCTCTCCGGTGTAGCATGTATTTATTAATTTTTTAAATGAAATAATAAAGCGGTGTTACTATTTCAAATTTAATTGTAGTAGTTAAAGGTTATTTATTTGTAGGCTTTTTACTATTGGACATATTTTCTTGCTAACAATTTGTTATATTATAATGGTCACTAGCTGAACCGGCAGACTTCGCAGTGACTCAATCGATAAATAAAAGAACTAAACTTTTGTATAAAATAAACTTAAAACAAATAAAAGGAATCCGTCCGACAGGGGGCACATCAAAGGAAAAACAAAATTGTTATTTTTATTTAATTCCGAGCATTTTCATTCGTTTATCTACCTTTTAAACCTTCTCTGGACTTCCACAAATAATTGAAGACAAAAATTAGCCAAATCGGTCCAGCCGTTCTCGAGTTTTAGCGAGACTAGCGAACAGCAATTCATTTTTATATATAGAGATAGAATAGATTACGAGTATAATAGCGTCGTAGAACGGATGGGCGCCGTTGAAGTTCTTGAGTCGGGACCGCGTACCGGAAGACGCAGCGTGGGTAGGCCTCCCACAAGATGGACTGACGACCTACTGAGGTTCGGGGAGATCCGCCGGATGCAAGCAGCGCAGGACCGATGTTTGTGGCGAAGGTTGAGGGAGACCTATATCCAACGGTGGACGTCTGTGATAGAATAGAATAGAATGAGTTCACGGGCCAAGGAGTGACGTGTTTTTATATAAGGAAAACGACATTTACAGATTTATGATTAGGCCGCGTTTCGAATGTGTCCATGAGCGATAATTACCACTTGCGATGCTAACATATCATTATTAGCGATAAAAAACTTGATCTAGTCCCGATTGAAATAAATAAATCAAGATTAATCGTACCACGCACAGTTCAGTTTTTGCCTGAAATTCGCATAGCAAACAACAAAATGAGCTCCCCTCCACGGTGTTTCCCGAGCGCTATGACATGTCTTTCTTCAAACGAGGCTTGTGGAGAGTGTTAAGCGGTAGGTAGCGGCTTGGCTCTGCCCCTGGACTTGCTGAAGTCCATGGGCGACAGTAACCACTCACCATCAGGTGGGCGGTAAGCTCGTCTACCTACAAGGGCAATAAAAAGTATGATAACAATGTGATTGTGTAGTAATGGCCCAAAGAGCGAATTAATAAAATAATTACAAGATTAACGAGCGCAGATCGCGAATGGAGTGCGAATGTGTGGCAGTGGGACAGCCGCGGAGCACACCAAACGCAATAGAGATGGAAAGTGTGTTCGGCCAGGCGTAACGCGAACCGAAAAACATTGCTACGCCACAAAATAGCCGTGAGATCGTCTTTACGATGCCTATTGCTTGTTATCATCGGCCGTGAGATTTTTATTATTTGCGACAAGAGTTTGATTGGTTGAATCATGAGTTCACAGTCCCAATTTTTTTTATCCTACCTATTCTAGTAACCTCGGGGGTTAATCTAGATTCGCCGAGCTTGTAGGTGAGCTCACGGGGCTCAAACCTGACGACGTTGCTAACACGAATCCTACCTAGCAAGAGCCGTGCTTCGCAGAATCTACCACCGGATCGGAAAAGCGACCTACTGAGAAGATCCGGCGAGAAACTCAGTGGGCTGTGTCTGTGGGTTAATTTACGATAACCGGTGCTTGGGGTACCTAAAAGCACAGTCCACGTGTAATGTCTACGTGTAAGAGTTGAACCCGCCAACCATTCCCACTATTGCTTTCATACATGCCATCTTTAGGTGGGTTAGGTTAGGACTTTAGGTGGACCAGTTCTTGGCCTAGCTGCTGTTAACTAAATAACAGAGTCCACAGCTATCAGTACGTGAATGACACCACTGACCTTGAACCATGCGATCGAGTATTTAATAACAGCAGTCTCAACCTTCAAACTAAAGCGCATCACTAATTCAGGAGCCCGTGCAGGCACTTATCACAAGTGCAAGGCAATCCTGATACCCTGATATAATAAACAGGGAACGTTGTTGCTTATTTTCCGATGATTTTCTTAGTCGCTTATTCCGACAAGGAAGACAAAGAACCCCTTAACACCCCGTGGGCCGTGACCTCGTAAACCAATCTAAGCTATAAAAAAAGAGGAGGAAACCTGCAGCTAATCTGATATTAAATAGCTGTCGATGTTCTTGGACATCAATAGCATTTTTCAAATAAAATAAAGTTCTTAACGCAAACGTACACAATACAAAAAAAAAACAAATCCACAAATATTCTATTTATGTAATTTAAAACATTTCGTCTTATTATTAGTAAAATTCTTAAACATAAAACACTATTTAATTTAAAGATATTCCGAAACATTACATTCTTCTTCTTCTTCGCTTTCTTCATTACTGAAGGTCTTGTCCCTGAAACTTGACCGTGGTCTGTCTCGTGAGCTGTTTCCTTCTCATCCAGTCCTCAGCTTCTCGTATGGCGGTTGCGACTGGCAGCCAAGTTGGGGTGGTTATTTGGTCACACCAGCGCTACCAGACCAGCGGGTCTCTTTCCTTCTACTTTGCCCGTCACAATCACTTTGTCCAAGTTATCTGACTGTCGGCGGGCAATGTGACCGAAAAAAAACGTTACATACATTGCTTAATATTTTCATTATAATTTTTTTCAGTTCTAAACGTGGCAGCCGGGAAGGCACCAATGCAAATTTCAACGGAAGACAGTGGAGTACCACAGCGTGCGTTGGACGGCAGCACATCGGCTACCTTCAGCGCTGAGACTTGCTCGCTGACTAAACAAGAGCGTGTGCCCTGGTGGTACGTTAACCTCCTCGAGCCGTATATGGTGCAACTCGTTCGTTTGGACTTCGGGAAGCCTTGTTGTGGTGAGTTCTTTCTGTTTATGATACCTGACATATCCTGACACCATTATACAAAGCACATATTACTTAACTCAAGCGTAATTGTTCTAAGATGGATTGACACTAGACAAAGCGGCACACAATCGAGTTGTTTTATTTAGACAATTACGATCTGACTATTTTGTCTAAGATGATCAACAGTAGCGATTCCAGGCTTAGATGATCTAAAGTGAGCAGAATCAGAGTAGAATTCATCCACGTCTTGCCCCCTTGGCTTAGGGATCGATATGAAGATCCCAAGGAGGATGCTTTAAAGCTTTTTGCGCCCTTATTCTAGATCAGAGTAAGCAGAGTGATGGAAGGAATCTCCACGCAACTCGCTCTAATTCAGGCTCAGAGGAGTTTCTTTGAGGAGGCATACTAACATTTAGGCAGATTTTAGATTGCTCATGATTAAGACGACGGTATGCCGTTGAGGGATCTTAATGTGTTCCTCCAACGCACCATGAAGATGATGGTGATGAGTAGTCTTAGTGAAATTTGTGTTTATAGAAGTATAATAAACAATCATAATAGTGTACAAACTTAAAATTCCAATTAATTATTGTCGAATTTCGACTACTGCGGGACCTCTAGTTACTATAATTGCGTTAAAATTCGTAAAACATTAAGCGGTCGGTCGCATATCACCACTTCGTATCATTCACCAATAAAACTTTGGTTAGGTATTGAATTACCGGTTAATTAACATGATAACAATGGCCGCTTCCGACTTCCTGTCGACTTCCTCGAGAAAACACAACAAACACAATTAGCAGAACACCCTTGATGATGACCAAGAATTAATCTGATCAGGATGCAAATGTTTACCTGTAGTGTTAAGCAAGTACCTACAGCAATAAATACCCTGGACTTACGCGATGTGTGGGTCTGAGCGATAAAAGTATAAGTTGAGTTAGCGTAAATCAGGGCTCAACTTTACATATAAACATGTTATTTCCGAGACCCCTTTTACAATAAAAAATAATCATTATCACCCATTTTACGCCGTCGAGTTTTTTGTTTTAATAGTTTGCTTGAAAATATTAATTAGCTAGTACTAAAAGTATAGTTTTAAAAAAAAACAATAACATGCATTATTTTTTAAGCAAAGTGCCTTTATATGATCTCTGCTGGACCGTTGAGCTTGGCATCCACCGGAGTAGTCCTTGGACAACATAACGTGAATACCGTTACCCACTTTGAGATCTAAATCTTAATTCTTTTACGAAATGTCCGTTAAATCGAAACGGACGACTGCTTCACGGTAGAAACAGGTTATATGTGGTATGGTGAATTTTCACTTCTCATATGCATCTCTAGATGTTGAAAGACATCATGATCTTCCCTTGATGTAAGCGGTAGTAGAACGCCAAGAGACCCACTAATTGTTGCATATAAAAGCGCTTCAGAGCCACCAGGAATTAATGTTGCTCTTTGTAGAGAGGTTACAGTTTCACCAACATGAAAATTGACCAGGTAGCTCTACCCATGCGGGCTCACGATGTGTGATCCGCTCGGGTCTTTAACAAAAATGTCGACGATATTTGAGGTTGTTTTATTTTTTTAAATAAAATAACACTTATTGCGGTATAACTGTAATAATTAGACATGTGCTTTCGCGACATTATTTGTGAAAAATAATGTGTTCTACAAAGTAGTAGTACATTTTATTCTATCATTAATAGTTTTCGCAGGGCACGTGATGTAAATAATATTTTAGGTAATTTTTTTACACCTTGGGTTACATTATTGGAGTTTTCCCTAATTTCCCTAATTTTTCTCAAAATATATTATAGCCTATGTCACTCGGGAATAGTGTAGCTTCCAAGCAGTGAAAGAATTTTTCAAATCGGTTCAGTAGTTTCGGAGCTTATTCGATACAAACAAACAAACAAATCTTTCCTGTTTATAATATTAGTATAGACAATATAGTTTAGGTTTATCATTGTCGACCAAAAACATCAAGGGTCGACTAAGAGAAACAAACATTGTCCACTAACCGACGATCTTCGCCATCATCTCGCTTCCAAGTTCCGACCCCGCCATTAACAGTTGTAATTGTGGATTTATCACCTGTCTGCGGTTACCGCTCGACTGCTCATTCGGGCCGGCTCTTATCTGATACATGTCACAGAAAAGACATCGTGGCAGATTTGTAGATTCATATCGTTACTATGTACATGTTGTCGCGCTAAATGTCTGCGGCTGCGGGAAGCGGGTCGTGCCATACAAATTATGTTTACCACCTTTTTTTTTATTGTCGAACTAGCGGCCCGCCCCGGCTTCGCTTGGGAAGTAGCGCTCGCGATGTAAAGAATTTTAGGTAATTTTTTTACATATTGGGTTACATTATTGAAGTTTCAGTAAGGATCCCTAATTTTTTTGAAAATATTATAAATATAGCCTATGTCACCCGGGGATAGCGTAGCTTTCCAACAGTGAAATATTTTTTTAAATCGGTTCAGTAGTTTCGGAGCCTATTCAATACAAACAAACAAATCTTTCCTCTTTATAATATTAGTATAGATTAGTATAGATAAGCGTTGCACGTGCTCGCCCGAATCTTACCGTAGCGTTTTGACATTGACGCGGATACTACTAGCTGCTTATGGATATGATATTTAATTGTATGAAGGTTTTGTCTTTGAATGTTAAAACAATAAATCGTTTTTTTATATACATATATGTATATGTTTTTTTTAATCATATTTTATTGTACTTAACATATTTTCACGATTCCCTTTCACGGTGAACTGGAAGTAAATAATCGTGTAATAAAAATCAAACCCGTAAAATTATAATTTGTGTAATTACTGGTGGTAGGACCTTTCGTAATGCCGCACGGGTAGGTACTATCACTCTGGTTATTTCTGCCGTGAAGCAGTAATGCGGTTCGGTTTGAAGGATGGGGCAGCCGTTGTAACTATACTCAGACCTGAGACTCATATCTAAAGATAAGTGGCGGTATTCAGGTTGTAGATGTCTATGGGGTCCGGTAACCACTTAACACCAGGCGGGCTGTGAGCTAGTACACCAACATATGCAATAAAAAAATTTTTGGCTAATGTTATGTTATCAATTTAGTATTACTTATATGTGTTTATTTTATGTATTTCATTATATATGTACGTGTATGTATATGTTTACGTTATTTATGTGTGTATGTATATATGTAGTCTAATATATTATGTATTAGTGTTTTTTTATTTTTATTATTGTTCTTGTTTAGATTATTAATTGTAAATTGATTAGATTGTATTCTTCTACCCACTCATTTAAAGCTTTCCTTCGTTAAGAACGGTTAGCTGGTAGAAAATTCAATTGTTGAGTTAAGCTCGCCATTTTTTATATTTTATCGCAATTACTGTAATATTAACTGTGTGTACAATAAAGAATAAAGACTAGAATAGAATGTTTGTTCCATCTCGAAGTTAAAGAAAAAAGTGTCCGTGTAATCTAATGTTGTTATAAACGTTTGTCAAAACGACTACGTTATAAATCTACCGCATTCTAAATTATAATAAATAAGAATTTGTAAAATGAAAACGGCAAACCCGCAGACCGTTGTTGCGGCAAACTTTCCAAAGTTATTTAATTCAACGGAACCTTTCCGATGAGTATTATTATACGATAATTTATAAACAGTTGCGGTCACAGTCGAGTGACGCCAAATAATCGTTCAGCAAGTGAAAGTTCGGAACAAAATATGGTACTAGGAAAAGTTATACGCGCGTCTATGGTGAATCGTCCAGTGACTAAGCGATTTTTAATGAAGGGAAGGTCTTTGATGGGGTTTGTATATTAGTCTATACAGCGTCTGGTAGCTTTGCGCAAAGAATGATGTTTATTTAATGTTAGAACTAGGCTGTTAAAGTAGAAGGGTCGCCGTGCAGATGCAATTTAGGGTTATTTTGTTAGATATATAATATCTAAACCACAATGCGGGTTAATGGCGCCTATAAATCTCAAGTGCTCTAACGTAAATATCCTACTTTATCTACCATTCAACGAATTTTTTTCTAGTATTTATTGAGAAAACAAAATCTTTATTTGTTTAATAGATATGAATTCGCGATTGAATACATTATTGGAATAATATGTTGAATATTGAAATGTTTACTTTGATATGTGTAATACATGGATCACCTTTTATCATAATGCATGATACGCCTAATTCCATGATAGGTATTTTATAGAATGCGACATCATCAATACATGTAATAAAATCGTAACTGACCGCTATCTGTACATGGAAGATATCACAAGAAAACTATTACAGGGGGCTTTATCAACGCAATAGAACCCATAATAATGATTTTTTGAAATTTTACTTGTTTGTCTGTTTGTCTGTGCGTTTGTGCACGCTAATCTCAGAAACAGCTCTGCCGATTTAAATGTGGTTTACGTGTGACGGTGTGACGGTGTTTATAAACCAAAAGATATGTCCTAAAACTGCTGCCCAAAATCGCTATTCCACGCGGACGGAGTCGCGGGCACAGCTAGTTTCTAATATGTACCTTACATTTTAGTCTTTCATGGCAAGACTCACGAAAATCGAAGAATACGGCTTAATAAAAAACAGTTTTATAAGTTTTTATTTTATAAATTTCACAATAATATCTAGGTAATCTTGAAGTCGAGCACGATCACACACGATCCACGTTGCGAAGTAATTGTCGAAGTGGAGAGTCATTCACATCTCGTTACAAAGACGCTACCGCTTACTTTACGATTCTGTGTGCCTTTCAGCAGAATCTCGTAACTCTGGTAACGCAATCTTGTTTATTTAGGCCACTGAATGCGTACTGAATACATAATAATGAACGTATCGAAACAGATTTCCATTGATATTTGTGATTATTATCGTTTTAATTGAAATGCTTTGAAATAATTTTATTAAGTACACACCTAATCTCTTAACCCGAATAAAATTATCAGCCCCTAAGTACCAAAAACGAAGAAATATAAATCGTTTATAAGAAAGCCCGCCTGTTCGAATTTAGGTGCTTACTCGCCCTTAAGCAGAATCCTTCGGCACTACAATGTCCACGGTAGCGCGGTCTCCGTCAATTTTCCTTCGTAGTTGTCCGCTGGCGCTGAACTAATTTTAAGTGAAATAGAATGTTTTTTCTAATTGTCTCACAACTTACAGGGAAAATCTGTCGCGGATCTTTTCCCAATTACATCTAAATTAATCTTAAGCAATCAATCAAATGTAATCAAATCTTAGTTATATATTTTTTTATATTTTTGTTGTTAATGCACTGTCGATTGCATCTATAATTGAGGTGACATCTGCCATGAGCTTTTTTTTGTCAGTTTGTCGATGTTTTGTATTGATGATCACTTTGTTGGTGCAACTTAATAAAAAGCGTGTATTTTTTAAATTTCAGGAACGAACAAACCCGCTGTCATTGTCGTGCGCGTCGGTAATAACAGACCCGATTTAGGAACGAATCCGGTCTGCAACCGTTTCACTGGTTTTATCGAAGAGGGGCAGCCACTCTTTCTGCCTTGCAACCCCCCGATGCCCGGCGCATTCGTCAGCGTTCACTTAGAGGGGTCGTCTCCCAGCCAACTGTCGATCTGCGAGGCTTTCGTTTATACCGACCAAGCTTTGCCAATTGAGAGATGCCCTCAGTTCAGAGATCAGCCCCCAGGGAGCACGGCGACTTATAACGGAAAATGCTATATTTTCTACGATCGGCAGCCGGCTACCTTCAGGGACGCGCTGGGCTTCTGCCGCTCACGAGGAGGAACCCTAGTGGACGAGAGCAACCCCGCTCTGCAAGGGTTCATCAGCTGGGAGCTATGGAGACGCCATCGGTGAGTTCATTGTTCTATCACCGGCAGTTTTGCGAATATTAACCTTAATAGAATGTAGACATTTATAGTGAACGATTCATGTAATAAGTTACAGGGACTTCAGTTTTTTAATATTTGTAAAGTCTTTGTACAGTAAAAACTATTGAAAATTAACCATCTCGAGATCCTAGATTTTACGAATAAAATAAAATAATTATTTAAGGGTCTGACTTAATAATACCCGCATAATTTTTTTTTATTTACTTTTTTACTCTAACCTTTCAAATTACAATTAATAAATTGAATAAGTCAGGAGAAATTATCTAGGAATTGAAAAGAAATGTAAGCAATGTAATATAATTTACATTGAAATGGGAGATTTACCCATATTAGTGATTGTACTTCATTATATTCTCATTGTAATTTAATGTGGGTATACGAACTTGTAAGTTACGCAAAATTAACATGTCGTGTAAAGAATGCTAATGCGAAATGAATTGTTTAACAATAACTGTATCCAGCAAAAACTTGCGAACTCTTTGTGATAAATTATTATGAAAAAAAACTATTTTAATATTATTATATTATAGTTTAAGCAAAGTACAATTTAATGTTCTATACGTTAATTAGTGCAGTTATCATAATGTCAATTTTATTTATTTATATTGTGATATTGATTTATCTATTATGAAAACCCACAAATATCATTAGTCACGTCCAAACAAGAAATAAATGTAAACATGTTTATCTATATATAAAAATGAATTGCTGTTCGTTAGTCTCGCTAAAACTCGGGAACAGCTGGACCGATTTGGCTGATTTTGGTCTTGAATTATTTGTGGAAGTCCAGAGAAGGTTTAAAAGGTAGATAGATATGAAAATGCTCGGAAATAAATAAAAATAACAATTTTGTTTTTACTTTGATGTGTCCCCCGTCGGACGGATTCCTTTTGTTTGTTTTAAGTTTGTTTTATACAAAAGTTTAGGTGTTTTATTTATCGATTGAGGCACTACGAAGTCTGCCGGGGCGGCACGTATTATTATATAAGTCTACTAGGAGCGATCTGATTCAGTTATTGTTTGTGGTTTAACTTGTTTTTCGTATCCAGCACGTTCGCACGTTAATCGAATTGTATTAAAACTTTATACATTTCTTGATGGCATTTCGAGGATGGTTTTTGTCATAGTTCAAATCAATGGATGTATTTCTTACATGTAGCGATGACTTGATTATTTTCTTCGATCATGCTCTCCGCATAGACATTACTTCAACGCGTTCGATCTGAAAGAAGTGTTGTCGTTTGTCTATGGGTCACAGTTTGACACCAGCCAGGCTGTGAGATCGTCGGCTAATATACCTACTGTAATAGGCAAAGGGATGATTCCATCGTATCCTTAATAAACAAAGAAAGATAATAAATCTATAACATGTCCTTCTTCAAACGAGACTTGTGGAGAGTATTAAGCGGTAAACAGCGGTTTGGCTCTGCCCCTGGCATTGCTGAAGTCCATGGGCGATGGTAACCACTCACCATCAGGTGGACCGTATGCTCGTCTGCCTATACGGCAATAAAAAAAACGTGTGGCACTCGGGAACTGCCGCGGTAAAGCTATTGCATAGCATTTTTTATCAACTTATGCAATTATAATTAGAATGATAATTTAATATTAAAACAAGACCACGCTATATTAAACATTAAAAAGTTGTAAATGTATCTGGGCTCCAGTAACCACTTAACATCAGGTGGGCCGTGAGCTCGTTCACCCATCTATGCAATAAAACAAACAAAAAAAAGAAGTTGTAAATGTATCTGGGCTCCAGTAACCACTTAACATCAGGTGGGCCGTGAGCTCGTCCACCCATCTATGCAATAAAACAAACAAAAAAAAGTTGTAAATGTATCTGGGCTCCAGTAACCAACCACTTAACATCAGGTGGGCCGTGAGCTCGTTCACCCATCTATGCAAATAAAAAAGTATAAATTAGTTCAAGAATCCAATCACTGGTACAAAATTAAAAAAAAAACAAATATCTAAAACAAAAAAAAAAGAAATCAATAATTTCATGATACGCATGCAGTATTCGTTCGGTTCCCTCTGTATTTTATACCGTATGTTGTGGGAGTGCTCTGAGGAATTGTTCGAGATGATACCAGCATCTCCTTTTTACCATCGCACCGCCCGCCACCGGAGTAGAGTTCAACCATACTACCTGGAGCCACTGCGGTCATCCACAGTGCGTTTCCAAAGACCTTTTTTTGCCACGTACCATCCGGCTATGGAATGAGCTCCCCTCCACGGTGTTTCCCGAGCTCTATGACATGTCCTTCTTCAAACGAGGCTTGTGGAGAGTATTAAGCGGTAGGCAGCGGCTTGGCTCTGCCCCTGGCATTGCTGAAGTCCATGGGCGATGGTAACCACTCACCATCAGGTGGGCCGTATGCCCGCCTGCCTACAAAGGCAATTAAAAAAAAAAAAGTGTGACGTCACGCCACACGCTTATTCACAAACACTACACAAGCGCAACGTGTGAATGTGTTGAACGCGAGCTACATGGCAGGCGGAGTGAAGGGTGTAAGGTTTTTTTCGTTACGGAATTTCATGATTCGGTCGCCGCGATCAAGGCCCGCGATAAAATCTATGCAATAGCTTAAAAATGTGTATAAAATATCGCGAGGGTAACAATATGCAAATAACGGAAAATTTAGAATCACGACTTATTGTCGAACGATAAGCGATAACTTATATCTCAAGGTGGATGGCGCATTTACGTTATAGATGTCTATGGGCTCCAGTAACCACTTAACTGTGGGCTGTGAGCTCGTCCATCCATCTAAGCAAAAAAAAAACGAACCGCTATGCGCCCCGTTCCACTCTGTTACAATCATAGGGTCGAGTACTCATAAATCATACCGTGAAACTATAGTATCGATGGTGTGGTAATTGAATTAGAGGGATTAGTAACGCGATGTGCACTCTCCCACTTGCGTCAATAAGCCTCAATGCTGTGGCTCGTGATTTCGTCTAATAACTTTCTCCTGGATTATCCAGCGCCACTCCTGCTTATCCTTGTCTGTGTTAATAGCAAAGCGGACTGAAGTGTTGAGAGTGGAGCGTATCAGGTCCACTCTCAATACTTCAATAATAATATCAATATTCAATATCCGCTTTGTATACGTACCAAGTCACAATCTTTATGAGAGTCGTATTTATGTTTGCCGCGTAACAAAAAATGTTATAATAATCTTCATGGGAGCATTCCGGAGTCATGAAGTAAATAGAATTTAAAAATACGACCTCTACTCCGATATCCCGATACAGAGAGATACTAAGATAATTTTATAATAGCTAAGTTCCGAAAAACGGAAAAACAATTGTTTCGATGTAACAGTTCTAGTTTTAAAATATGTAATTCTTTCTTTAGCTTACAACAAGCTTCAAAAGCTCAATTAGTCAGATGGCCGTGAAAATTTCACGAAACTTTCAGTTGACGCTATTGCGGCTCTACCGATTTACATCTGAGTTTTTTTTATCACATATTTCGAAGTGGTGGTGGTGAAAACCCATAGAAAAGTTATTTACAGATTTTACTTTGCATGTCTCTTTAGCATTCAATGGATGAGTGTAGATGTAAATAGATTGCCTCGCTAGCATCTTTCTTGATGCCTTTCAAATTGTAGCGGATATGTTAATCTGGCATTTACTTACAAGTGAATAAGTACGGAGGAATGTGGCAACCCTGCTATGAACGCGCCTTTTTTACCACGTGCAGATCATAACAGTATCCGTCTTAGATGCCCTTCGTAACACCACACATAATAAATCCGCTTGTCGATCATAGAAAGTGATGACGCTAAAATTTAAAAGTATACACAAGTAATGTACAATAAAAAGATGATGCACGTTATACATCAGCAAATAATTTCAACAGAAGCGACAGCAGCAGTCAGTACTGGATGGGTGCCGTCCGCGACCCCCAAGACCCCAACAACTGGAAGTGGGTGAACGGGAATGACGTCACGGTATCGTTCTGGAATGCTCCGGGGGGCGGAGAGGGTTGTGCCAGATTCGACGGAAGCAAGGGCTGGTTGTGGGCCGACTCTGACTGTCAAGCGAGATTGAACTACATTTGTCAGCACCGTAAGTTCATTTTTGTATGTTGCTCAGCGATTTCGTTTGTGTGCTATGCGATTTTCGTTGCGTGCGTTTTTTTTTAAATATCCTTGTAATACTAATTAGATCAATAGCTCCAGCTCTTTAGGAACTATTGGTGTTATTGTACAAACATGATCTATTTTACTTTATTTCAAATATAGAATGAATTTTAACTGAATATTGGAGCAACTAAATAGAAACTCCACAGCTAAGCTAGCGTAATTTCTTTTAATGGTCGTCCCTGATCCTGACGTTTGTCTCCAGAGCCTAAAACGTGCGGTAGACCGGAGCAGCCTCCGAACTCGACAATGACAGCTGACAGTTACGAAGTCGGATCTTCCGTGGAGTACTCCTGCGATGAAGGTCATCTACTAGTTGGTGCCACGGTCAGGACATGTCTGGACACAGGGTTCTATGATGAATTCCCACCAGTGTGTAAGAGTGAGTGTAAAAATCGACATACTATGCGTTAATCTGTAATCATTGTACGGTTCATATTTATAATTTATGACCATAATAATTTGATCTCTGATGATTTTTTTTCATTACACGAACAAATGGAGATGTTAAAGCATTTTAAATGGAACATATTTTTCGTTTCGCTGTTTTTACTGAACTAAATGCATAGACTAGTTCACGGCTTACCTAGTAATAATTGACAGTTGGAGGGTGGTAAACATGATAACGTAAACAGAGCCCAACTCCCTTCAGATGATAAGTGTTCAAAGTCTCCCATTGTTTTCTGCAACAATGGGAGACTAAGATCCTAAGACTAATGTAAGACTAAATGTCCAATACGTGTGGATTCTGGACCTCGAGGGGTTAAATATGATTGCTCGTGCAGGAATCGAGTGCGGTTACCCGGCGGAGATCCACCACGGCTCCTACGCGCTGATGAACGGATCCGTTTCGTATTTATCACACGTCCAGTACTCCTGTGAAGCTGGGTACGAGATGGCCGGACGCTCGCGTCTGGTCTGTGACATCGACGAGAGATGGAACGGACCTCCGCCTCGATGCGACGGTTCGTTATAATTATTATTCATTCATGGTCTTGATCATGATCCCTCATCATGATAGGTCTTCAGACGTTCACAGCTGGACATAGAACTTAAGGCTCACCACGATGACTGATATTGCGCTGCTTGCAACGGGCTGAATTCCACGACCTTCGTGTTAATCACGAGGGTGAAGTGGAAGTAGGCACGGCAGAAGATCCAAAATGTTGTTTGTTTTTAGTATGAGTCATTCGTCAATATTGGTTGGTAACTGCCTTAACAACAGCCTATCTGGACTTGTAGAACTGGTTTCTAATAATAATTACACCGATTCTTTTAATGCATTGGCAGATAATATCATCCTAGCCATAAACATGCTTGCAAATGCAAGTATCTTTCCTTCAGGTTTCTTGGATTGGACCGTGGATATACTATTCAATAGACACTTCAATTGCTTGCTTCAAGATGTGGCATACAAGTCGTGATGTCTGTGTACATAGCTCCACATAAGATTGAATTTTCATTTACATAGTCTCATTATGAAGTATTGACGTTAATTTCTGAGTGTTTTTTACAGTGGTGCAGTGCGAAGATCCTCCACAAATATCGAACGGTCAAGTGTCGATGTCGCACAACGCGTCCGTATTCGGGTCGGTCGCCGAATACGAATGCTCTGAAGGCTTCGTTCTGCAAGGGCCAAGGAGGATCGCCTGTCTAGCTTCCGGGCTGTGGGACAAATCTCCTCCTCTATGTCAGCGTGAGTATTTTTCTGCGGATTTAGCACTGTTTTCAAAATACACTTTTAATGAAAAGGAAATACTGCTACGCGTTAAAGCTCGAAATAAATAAAACTTTCACCGAATTTCAAATTAAAACTCTAATAAACACTTAGAACACTTTACAATTCTCAATTCACTTCTTCCGCTTTCTTTCGCTCCGAATAGAACCGATAACTAACTGCCTTCGTATCATCTCTGGAACGCCTTTATAGTCAACACTTCAAGACTACAATTATCGAGAAAATTCCCGATGGGGCGAGTCGTTTCGATATGTGTTTCCGCTATTTAATCATAGATGGCGTTACACTTCTCGAACGTTCTCGATGTTACTAGTTCTTTTGATATTCGTTTCTGCTATTTGATGACAAATAGCGTTACTCTTACCGGCGTAACAATACTTCAGAAAAAAATAATCATCTATTTTATTATTTGTGTGTATCATTATTTAATTCATTGGTTAATTTCGAAAAGCGACCATGTTTATTTCATGATAATATTTAAAATAGTTTAAATGGAATAATATTCATTTAACAGCGGAAGAACGCCCGACGACGACCACGACAACGACCACGGCTCCTCCACCTCCACCTCCCAGTACGACCTTTACCCCTCCCCGCCTGCCCCCTACAACACCTCGCCTAGTCCTCCCCTCACGTCGCACCACTATCCGTCCTCTATCTTCTCCCACGCCGTTCATCACTCAAGAACCACGTCGCCCTAAGCCCAAGAGTACTACAGAGCGACCTACGACTAAGGGATACGAACGATTTCCTGAGAAGAAAGTCACAGTCCCAGACAGTCAGGACTCCGCAACAAGTCACGTCCCTCACATCATTGTGGCGAGTCACCCTAGAGAAAATCAGGTTTGTAGTTTTTTTAGATGCGAAGTCGTCGTGGCCTAAAGGATGGGAATCGAATCCCGCACCAATTTTTCTAATGAAATACGTACTTAACAAATGTTCACGATTGACTTCCACGGTGAAGGAATAACATCGTGTAATAAAAATCAAACCCGCAAAAATTATCATTTACGTAATCACTGGTGGTAGGACCTCTTGCGAGTCCGCACGGGTAGGTACCACCACCCTGCCTATTTCTGCCGTGAAGCAGTAATGCGTTTCGGTTTGAAGGGTGGGGCAGCCGTTGTAACTATACTGAGACCTTAGAACTTATATCTCAAGGTGGATGGCGCATTTACGTCGTAGATGTCTATGGGCTCCAGTAACCACTTAGCACCAGGTAGACTGTGCGCTCCACCCTACTAAGCAATAAAAAAAGCGTGAATTTATGGTTAATCATTTCCGTCTCCAGATCATAGGTAGCGGTAACAATATCCGCGCTGAGCAGAGTCCGGGAGTCAATGTCCCACAGCCGGTAGATGGTGAGCGCCGCGAAGCCACCGGCCCCCGGTTGAACATCGGGGCTGTGGTCGCTCTGGGCGCCTTCGGTGGGCTCGTCTTCTTGATCGCCATCATCACGACCATCGTCATCCTCGTTAGAAGGTAACCGAGAAGAATACAAATTCAGATCATGCAATCATTTTAATAAAAGATAGTCTGAAATAACTATCCAAATAGAACGTGATTACAAATAAATTGATTATACTCGTAATAAAATAGGAACGCTAATATTGCGTTGTTGACATAAAGATTTTGTTTTTTATAATTGTACCTTAAAATATAAAAGCAACGAACGCTTTATTGAACCTACCGGGCGAGCACCGAGAACAATCTAGAATAATCGATCGATTTAATATTGTTTTAATCTGTTAACGACATTATCTATATATATACTAATATATAAATCTACAGTTGTTTTTACGGATGTTCTGTTATAACTACTGAACCATGCATCTGATTGACTTGAAACTTGGTATACATGTAGAAAATACATGTAATTAATGGATAGGTTAATATTTATATGAGTGTTGGACTCCCTACACCAGTTGCGGGGGCGTTGGTGATGAGAATCTTTGTGGGGGTGAGAAATAATAATGTTAATTTTAAATGCCCAGCGAAGCGGGCGGATACAGCTAGTTATTAATAATAATATAACTAAATATTGTTCTAAGTAAGCGATTGAAAGCGATATTACGCTCTGCAACCCAACGAAAATTCTACCGAAACAAAGTCAGATAAACACGAGTTATTTTAACGTACGCTCTAACTCCACACAAATTTGAGTTAACTTTTACGCTATCGAGAACGTTAAAAAACTCGCACTAAGCACACGGTGACGAGCTCAATGTTATTTTTTATCTCTGTTGAGTATGTAATCCCCAATATTCTTAGTAGAAAATGCGTGTGAGAAATACTTAATCCTAAAATAAACATCGAAGGAGTAAATTTTATTAACCTAAACGAACTAAAATCTCTCAACTCCGACTAGCCACTGTTCGAATCTGTACCTACCTTTTTTTTAACGCTTGGAAATCCATTTTCTGATACCCGGTCGAGGGGGGCCGGTACCTACCCTATATCTAATTAATAATTATTATACTCATTAATAACAAATTCGTCTCGTGAGTATACGCATACTTTCTGATACTAATTTAGACACAGATAGACTCTGTGACATGGCTTTTTGTTTCTTGCCGCTGTTGTCACTCACGTAAGCCTAAACGTAACCGAACTAATCTAACAAACCTCATACCTCAAGACGGGCAGTTGTAATCCTTGTGTCTACGCGACCTCTCCCGCGACCGATTAACATCAGACTAGTCATCCCCCGATAGTCGAAATTCGACTATAATTACTAATTAAAATTATAGGTTTGAACATTATTATGGTTCTATTGTCATAGACTTTACTTTTATAATCCCATATTTCGCCAACCCTACACTGTAGACAAATAATATTTAAAAAAACAATATTAGTCTATTCTCGATCTAAGCATAAACTTTAACAGTAAACAAAAAAGTATATGTATATGCCTATGTGTGTCAAATACATGGTAGTGCGTGTAATGTTGTCTTTGTTGATTTAATGTATTTTATATGCACAATTTAAAAAAAATTTAGTTTTCTACACTCCTCTATATTCTCTATAAGCGCGAGAAAATTCATACTGCTCCGTCCGCGCAATTTTCGTAAAATGGGGTACGAAGTTTTTGCGTCACTTATTAATAAATATATAGATGCGGCACAAGTCTTAACCTATAGACACAGCCCACTGAGTTTCTCGCCGGCTCTTCTCAGTGGGCCGCGTTTCCGATCCGGTGGTAGATTCTGCGAAGCACTGCTCTTGCTAGGGTCAGTGTTGGCATCACTCCGGTTTGAGGTCTGTGAGCTCACCTACTATTTAAGGTTAGGCAGAAACTTTCTCTACCTAAGCTGATAGCCTCTCAAGGCTATTTCAGCGTAACCTTAACTAGTAGGTGAGCTCACGAGGCTCAAACCTGATGACGTTGCTAACGCGAACCCTAGCAAGAGGCATGCTTCGCAGAATCTACCGCCGGATCGGAAACGCGACCCACTGAGAAGATCCGGCGAGAAACTCAGTGGGTTGTGTCTGAGGGTTAATTTACTCGTCGAGCCCTTTGAGGTTCGACTAGCTAGAACGATGACCGGTCAAGCCGTCAAGCCTGCCTATGTATGACAAAAAGAAAAAAAACTAACGCACACAATGACGTTAGCGGTCGCAAGCGTCCGCCGCCCGCAGTAAGGGAGCTGCCCTCGCGTTGGTACACGCTACTGGCGCTGCCCTTCCCCGACCAGCATGTCGGGAGGCGAGAGTTCGTCAGGACGCACAGACACGCGCACCGCGCCGGACACTTCTCCAACCCTTTATAGCGAGTGCGTTTATATTTTAAGGTACCGCGTCGTTGGCGATGTGGTGGCTGATGAGATTAGATTACGGTGTTATTGTCGATTTATAAAGAAAGTGTCTCCTTAGTACGCTAAATAAAGCGATTTGATGTATATCTGAGCGGATTAATTAAATTAATTTGTGATTTGTCACGCAGCTTAAGCTAGACCTGTGCGCTTAGTGCGAGTTTTTAACGTCCTCGATAACGTAAAAGTTAGTTGCTCCTAATGGCAAACGTAGGTAAACGTTCCAACTGGATACAAATTTGAATTAACTTTTACGCTATCGAGGACGTTAAAAAACTCGAACTAAGCACACTGGTTAGGACAGCAGGAAAGCGCGCGATTTCGTTCAACAAATCGGTGAATTTTAAGCATTTAGCGACAACCATGATGATTTAAAATGGATCTTAGGTTAGAATTACTTTGTTACTACAGTGATAAAGCTTCAACGAATGCATGTATTCTATATGCATATAACAATCGTCAAAGCGAATCGTGTTCAGTTTTAACCAGTAACACATATTTTATTCTTTTATTTTGTAAGACAATATTATATATCTATATATGCATAAGAAGCTTAATAAGCATAATTGTTATATTTATTCATGTTATATTAATTCTTATTATCAGCCGCCACGTCTCAATGCGTGATCGCACTGGAGTTTAGCACGCGCTATGCAAGAAAAACGTATTCGTAAATACACACACTGCTTATCACACATCAAGGGATTTTAGTTCTCACCTTATATCACCGAAAAGAAGCTAAATGTTGCAGCTTAAAATGACACCGAATTTCATATTGGTTTTACCACCACACTTTACAGATATGGTATCGCACATTTAATTTAGCACACCGCTATGTTTAATATTAAATATCCACATTAAATTGTACGCTACAATCAATTTCATTCAATGACTAACCGTTAAGAACCACTGCATAATAAGTTTATGACATTGAAACGGCTTTTAAAAAAAAAATCCTTAATTTCGTAACGAGGCTTTCAAAGAAAATTAGTATTTCCATCTATGGGCCATTTTAGTCTAATAAAAATGGAGTCAACATTTGTATTTTTTCCTATATCATTTCAGTGCTGCGGTAATAATCATCAACTCGATCATAAGACTCGATATGGAGTTTAAATAAAATATAAAATCAAAATAATTGAAATAACGAAATAATATCAATAAATCGTAATACATTTTGTCTCTGTTTTTAAGTGCCATTACTTAGATTAAGTCATAATTGTATTTGTCTTACTCGCAAATGTTTATTGCTCGGCATGCTTATGCTTATGAAATAAACTTGGTATTTCAGTAGGAAGCACAACAAAGGCAAGAGGTACAGGCACCACGTATCCCCGGACTGCAACACCGTCGCTTCCCTGGACTCCTCATCGTCGGAGTCCAGGAGTGGCCTCAACAGGTACTACCGCCAGGCTTGGGAGGAGCTGCACGAGGCCACCGGGGCTAAGCACGGTCACAGGAGACATGAAAGGGAAGCACCGAAGGACGGGTCTGAGTTGGTTGTGTCCGACGTGCACCCTGCACCTCATGCGAGGGACAAGAGGCGCCACCATCACCACCACCACCACCGCGACGCTAGACACCCAGATTGGCAGCCACCGCACCGTCCGCATCATAACCATAAACCTAGATATTAAAAGACTGTTTCGATACGATCCCCAACTGCAAACCTTAAAAGGAAAAAACAATATTATGTTTTTTAGTTAGTACCGAATTCCTTATTTGGATTTATTATAATTTTATGGTATATTATTTAATACTTCTGTATTAGAATGTGAACTTGATCAAATTTTCTTTTGGTAATGTGTATTAGTATATTTTTTATTGTAGCTTATACATAGCTAAATTTGTTCAAAACTGATCAAATGATAGAGCAATACTTTATGACATTCCAAAATGGCGCCAAAAATAACAAGAGTACCAAATAAAGTTTAGTTTGTTCTGTATTTTTGTTAATTAATCGTCCAACAATAGATAAATTACTGTTTTTTTTTGTTTATATTATAGAAGTTTCTATGAATATTTGAGCCGTAAATTAAATATAATAGTACAATATATAAAGTCTAACGGATATTCCAGTATTTTATTATAAATTTATTCTTTCTTTGCTTAGCTATGATTACCTTGATCTTTTCTTAAAGATATATTATGTTTCTCATTATTCTTTACGTAGCATAGTGGATATGACGCAGTAACAAAATTGTAAATAACTTATTTTATAAATAAGATTAGATTGAAGTTAATCATTGTTCACGGCGCTAACTTTCCTGTTTGATTAATGTCTAACTTACTTATGTTTACCTTACACATTTTGTAAGTTTGATTGAAATGGCTAATGATCATTTTAAATTGAGAGAACGGTTAGAGTATAAATGTTAAGAAGTTTCGAGTTTTATATATTTATTTATTGTTATTAGCGTTATGGTACAAAATAATTTTAGACAAAATATTAAATACGAAATTTGCCGCTTCAAAACATATGTTCATGTAATATTATTATCTATAAATAATAAAATCATATTCTTGTTTGATTATAGTTACATTATATATATTTCAATTATACACTTACCAATTTAACTAATTTTTTTCTTCTAATTTGTAGTGATTGGGTACTTTACTTTTAATAAGGACATGATTAAATAAAAAAGCTATTGATATATTTTCTTGGCAATCTTAATAATAATAATAATAATAATTTATTTATTAACCATGATACATTTACACATAACAGTTTGCTAAAAAAATCTAGTTTATGGATTGTTTTAATCACCTACCTATGTATTATGTCTGTATTTGAATAATTAAGCCTTCCCTGAAATATTCGTTTTAAGCGGTAATATTTCGCAGAAAAGTAAAGGATTAAAGGATGTGCCATCGAACAGGCAAATACAATTTAAGAATTAATAGTATATTCTTAAAAGAAATGATTATTCTTAAGTTATGTTATTATATTTGACTTTCACGAGTCATAAATATGCTTAAAAGAAAGATTTGTGTTTCAGTCGTCGTTATTTTGTACGACGTTACGTAGATTTTCGTGGTGAAGTTAGACTGAACGTTAATAAGCAAAGAATACGAACGCGAAAATATATGTACAGCAAATGTTTCTTTTAAATTTGGTATAGTAATAACGTCGGTATTCATGGCTTTTAAGTTTCTTAAGTTGAATATTTACTGGAAATTGATTTGTTATTTAATGTGTGTTTACAATAATAATTCCTCAAAAATCTAATCTAATTGTATTGGCATAACTGTGCGTATGTCTAAAACAAGGAAAATCTTCAATCGATATATTTCCTATGTAAATGACTAGATTACTTTCCATTTTATATTGCTTTTTGTGGATTAAGGACTGATTCACCTGTGACTAAATCATTCTAAAGTTAATTTCCTTTAATTGTCAATGAACATAAAGATTGGTGAATACCTACAATAATTGTGTACTGTATGTATGAAACTATAATATAATAATATAGTATTAAATATTTGTGATAATCAAAATCTTTTATTTGCGTCATATAATCTTGTTTTTATTGTTTATTTTTTCCCCCAATTCGAATAATATTAATTATTATGAAGGCATAATGAAACACTTCAATGTTTCAGAGAAATTTTGTTATCCTGATCACGCAGGAGCCAGTCCCCTGTCGACGCCCTAGACAAGTCCTTACGGATCCATCAGATTTGGACCTTTGCATTAGACGCCTTCAGCTCAAACACTAAGAGCAGGCTTAGGGACCCCGGTAACCATACTCGTCGAACTCTGCAAGGGGTTCGTCGTGCTACCTAACCCATGCATCAGCCCGCTGAGTGTCTCGCCGGATCTTCTTAGCGGGTCGCGATTCCTATCCGGTACTAGATTCAAGACCTTAATATTTTTTGCAACACTATTAGTTTAATGCATAACCTAAATGCGTTAATAACGTTTTAATGAATAATATATAACACACTGTTTTCCTTGAAATTTTAAGGCAAGATCACTAAATTATTTATTTAAGATTATTATTTAAATGCATGTTTTTATACCCGTTTTCTTTATTTTGGATATTTCTCAGTTGATAGGAATAGAAAGAAAATACCATTTTGTTTTCAAAAATGTTTTATTTGTGAACATAATAATATACGTAATCGGATAAATTGCAATTCTTGTTGTTAGATAAAAGTTTGAAATTATTTCTAATAATGACCATTCCATTCAGAAAATTAAATATTCTGTGCAATATAATAAACGATAAGGTACTATGAAAAGGTATACGAGGTAATTCGTCATAATGTCTCCTACAATGAATTACATTTGTACAGAATTGACCACTGTTCTGCAAGAAAACAAGTGTAAATTTAAAATAAATTAAGTCAAATTATATTATTAAAATAAAGATATATGTTTTTACACAACATAATGGATTTAATATTTTCAACACAAAAAGTCAACTGATGGTATGATATGGGTTATATTGAAAAATATTTCATACACCTCTTAATTCGGTTACTGCTTTAGACTGGTTTAGAACGTGTGAAGCGATGCATGCGGTAAATATACAATCGTCTTATGAGACCTTAATAATATGACATAATCATATATTTACTCTTCATTGTACACAATAATACATTATAAAACATTCGTTTGAACTTATTTTACAAACAACACCTAAGCATCCTACGGCTCATCTTCACAATCGGCCATGATGGGCCAACAAATGATCGTCCATCATCGCCGCCATGATCGGGCAACTCTCCTCACAATCATGAACGTTCATTTACTGACTGTGTACTGATATTATGTTAATACGCGATGATGGCCGATCACAGACATTTATGCCCTCTACACTATCGTGATTTTCTATAATCGCCCATCATGGCCGATTGTGAAGAGGAGCCATTACGCGAGTATTGTGCGCGTCTTAAAAACCCAGACAACGGGGCAACGCAAGGCCGCCGCCACCCTAAGCACATCCTATCAGATCCTTCCGATCCACTCTCGATACTTTTAGGAATTTTAGGCACCCCACCGGTCTCTGTTCTCGTGTGAGAGTTCGACATGCAACCTAACACGTTGATACACTCCACCGAGTTTCTCAGCTTCCTCGTCGGATTTTCTTAATGGTCGGAAATTTCTCAATAGATTCAGCGAAGCACTGCATACCTACCAATCCGCGCGTAGTTGAAATAGCCTCTTAGGCTACCAGCGATTAGGTAGGAAAAAAGCCACAACTGTGTACTTAGCACTATACTGAGAAATGACCATGCGTTCCGGATTGAAGGGTGGGATAGTCATTATAGACACCAATTCAGTTATCGGCCACAAAAAAGGATAACCTTTAGGATTTAACGTGATAATTTACTAATTAATAACTTTACTGCGAGTAAAGCACGTTCAAGAATACCTCGGGAAAACTAGTCGACTATGCGGCTTGTTGTAATATACGTAATTTAATTTGATAGACTAATAAAATTAAAACTTTGGTTTTATACTAAATTTCGGTAGCATTGCGTGCTATCGTGTAACGAACCTAGTAAACATTTTTAGCGAAGTTCTATTTTAATTAAACATTTTAGAATATTATTTTCTCATCATTTTTTTTCCAAAGTTAGTGCTACGAGTAATCACTATTATATTTCAATATGATACCTCTCTTTGTGCTGGTATCAAATAAAAAAATATGCTCTGTGTTGGCAGGTTCGTTTGACGGTTTAAAATTACAATATTGTAACAATGGGATAATATTCTGTGATATCCTTGAAATTCGGATACACATATCTTATCTATAACCATTTCTAGACTTTGACAGATGTCAAACACGTTTCCCATTTGTGTTTTGGGTATTGTCATAGATGATGATACACTTATATTTAAGGGTATTGTTGACAAGTAAATCTTTATAGCACTTTCGTCTTATTCTACAAATAATGTTTCAATAATTTACGTAGCTGAAAAACTAAAAAAAAACATGCCTAAAAATAGCAAACCGAATTATCTAAGTTTTTTTTTTATACTGTTGATATAGGTCAAGGAATTAGAACGAATTTTGAACTTCAATGAATGTAGGTATTCGTTCCTTGATGCGAGTACAAATTTTCAAGTTTATCGAACGTCAAAGTTCAAAGATTCCGTTATATACAAACTTACTAAACTAATAAACGCGTGTTAAAAATAGAAATTCCATAACCGTTTTAATACCTGACTACACAATATTGTCTTATAAAAATATACGGTAACACAATATTCAAATTACGACAACTAACACCTTAGTCGTGTCCTTGACTATGAAAACTAAAATTATAAGAAGCTTTAGATTATAAACGGAAAATGGGCATTAAAATCTGTCTTAATTTTATTATTTTATAACCACGAATTAAAAAAGAAAGTAAGAATTCCGCTTGTCAAAGACCTCGTTCGATACAGAGTTTAATCCACATCTTATTTTATAAATTGAAAATAATTATCAAGAATTTATGTAAGTTAAATAATCATCTTTGTAATAAATGTATTTCCAAAAAATTAATAACCTCATGTTAAAAATTGTACATGCACTCAGCACATTTCACTCCGATTGAAACTGCTACATTCATATCATACCGCTTGCTATGACAGCGTTCTTTCGGTGAGTTTTTGAGTGGTAATGTGCTGCTGTCCAATTGGACACTTTTTTAACTTGTTCCCCATTAAAGGCAACATGGTAATTTGCTGCTGTCCAATTGAACACTTTTTTAACTTGTTCCCCATTAAAGGCAACTCTTCCTATCTATAACCTCCATAGGAAATAAAACGGGAAATCGATCAGGAAAATTTTGAAGTGAGTAGCATGCGTGATCGTCTAGTCCCTGTTGCCAGTGTGAAAATATTATTAGGGGTATAAAATAAATCCAAGAAACCTACCTCCAGTTACGGCGAATCACTCACCAACTCTTTTAAAAGGAATACGTATACTATCAAAATAAGTCTTGCTTCATAAAATTTCCAAATTTAATAGTAAAACGTAATTTATAAATTCATGTGACGCGTATCATCGGTTAGCGCACATAGATCTGAGACGTTGCAGCAATTTGAGCATATTTTTGTAGAATAGTTTTAGTAAAAAAAACAATGTTAGTGAAGAAAACAAAAACCCAAATAAAACAACAAATTAATGAAAAAGAGTTACGCATTTCTGATCAATTTAAAAAACGATTTTACATTATTATTATACAATTAATATTTCTACAAATTTGGAAGCACTAAAATTCAGCACGTTCAACAATTACAAAATGACTTCTACAATGCTTACGTATCTAGGTCACGCATCGTTACCATACTGCGCATACATGAGCGATATCAAAAGATGAGCCTATTGAAATTTACGATACTATTCTAAGCTTCTGCTCCTGTCAGGCGATTTATAAATAATCCTAAGCTTTTGTTGTATTCAATAAATTGCATTTGTACTATAAAAAAAAAATACCTACATTTTCCTGACACATTTTTTTACTTCCAAAAATATTATAGAACTGTTAATAGTGAATCGTTGGAGCTTTATAAACTCGTTATCAGACTGCTAATAAAAAGGATTAAAGCCATATAACATCTTTTGGCAGTCTTATGACAACATATTATAAAGCTCCATTATGTAAATTATGAATAAGACTGTTAGTCTATGACAGGAGAATTTTGTAGTCCATTGTAGTGGCAACTTTTACCAAAAGCTATTCACAATTTAAGATGAATAAATTCTAATTCCGTTACAAGATTCAAATTTTATCATTAATAAATATAAACTTTTTCTAAATTTGTAGAAATATGTATAAAATATAACATTTTTCATTTTACAATTTTGGCATAGCTAGCACACATTACAGAATAATATCTAGTTTAAAAGTATATAATAATGCCTTTTACATTTTATTTCTATAGTTTAATTGTTTTTTTTTTAGTCGATTTTGACAATGTGTGTTAATAATGCGGCTCGTATATTAAAGCTAAAAGGTACACAAAAATTGATTTCTTGAAACTTGTATTACAAAAATTTACATGCATAAAAATATATATTTTTTAAAAGAACAAGAATTAAGCAAATCATTTAGTGGCAATAATTACAATCTTTTAATGGGAACATTTACTTTTTTTCTAATTAGTGTCAGAGTAGGTTGTAAATAAAAACCGCCATTTTATCTTTATTTAAAATTCGTAAAAAAAAATCATCTTTTATTTATGAAACTTTCCAATCAGAACAATAATAAGTTTTATCAATAAGTTACATGCATTCCGTTTAAAATAAGGACGATATCTTAAGAATCATGCGAAATCATAAAACAATTTTTGTACATTAATAATAATATACATTAAAAGATTATTGTAAAAAAATACGTCCATTTAAAAGAATCACTTCAATATAATGTCAAATTTGGTGAGAACCATTTCTTTTGCTGGGAGAAGAGAACAGTATAGTAGGTATTTATATAGACAAAAAAATCGTAAGTCACAAAACAAAACCTATATTTTTGGCATCGTCAACTTAGTCCGTGTGTTATGTTAGTATAATTGACATTAACTTTATTTAAATGTAAAGTCTGATACACAAATTAAGCGAAATTTACTATACATTTTTAATTTGCAACCGCCTGTATGCGCCCTAAATAAACTTCAATGTGTAATTTAAACTTAAAAAATATATGTATATATATATCGTACCGTTTTTTCTGACTCACATCTATATATATATATGTAGGATTGGTAAGAATGCAACATATGAAAAGTGTGGAACGGAACGTTAAGATGTGAGTGAGAGAAAACGGTAAGAAAGGGAAAAGAGAATGAGAAACAGAATAACAGAGAAAAGAAAGATAGCTAAAACGATTGAAATGAGCAAGGCGTAAAAAATAGTGTCAGTTAATTCATTATTATTATTATAAATAAGAGTTTAGAAAAGAAAGGTATTAGTGCAATAGTGATGTAATTTTTTATTTTTGTGTGTCAGAATTCCAATTCTACACATATATATATATTTTTTAAACGCTCACATGCAGCTAAGCTCCTTTCTATAATCATCTGCAAGAGATTTTTTTCAATTTTGGTTTTAAAAAAAACGAAAGCAGTATATATATATATATATATTGGTTTTAAAAAAAACGAAAGCAGTATATATATATATAAACGAAAGCAGTATATATATATATATATATATATACTGCTTTCGTTTTTTTTAAAACCAAAATTGAAAAAAATCTCTTGCAGATGATTATAGAAAGGAGCTTAGCTGCATGTGAGCGTTTAAAAAATTTCCTATTAGAGAATAATAATTAAATTACATATATTTTGAACCGCTTACGAGTTATCCGGTAGCATTTGCTAAATAAAACGTATATACACACATACGCGTTCCTTAAATTTACAGCTAATAACATGTCGGTATTCTCCTCTTCTTCTGATCAACAGAGAGCGAGCGAGACAGGGACATATTTTTGTCAAACATGAATAGTAACGTAAAACATGATAATAATATAGTTATTGATTTGAACAACTTCTAAATGCTCTTTAAGCACTAAAAGCAGTAAACAGGTCATGTTTCGAATTTTCCTCAAATAAAAAAAAAAGCGTGTTACGATTTATTTCGTAAAGATTGTGACAAAATTGACTTTAAATCGAACTGATATTTTTTTATTGAAATTTAAAAATGTTACCCTGAGTAACACCTAAGCTCTCGGTACATGCGTTTGAAACATAGAAAAAGCAACAAAAAGTTCAATAATATGTAGAGCTCTTAACAATTAAAATACATATTATGTTCTCATTATCTAAGTATCTAACAGTTGCATTGCTATTAAGCTACTTTGACATAAGCAGTTATTAATATTATATATATTATATAACATTTTAAATAGAATGTGTTTATACAGTTACGAGTCAATTGGGGTGAGATTTCGCTAAAAATAAGTAAAAAAGAAGAATAAAAAAGAATTTTAAATTTTTTTCTAACTACCGAGGGTAGATGTTACACACATTGACAATAACTGTAAGATTCGCTCTTTTACCGTGGATGTGTACGAAGAGTGAAATATATAGCGCATGAGGTGTTTTAATTAATTTTAATATCGTTGCGATCCCGTGGTTTCGTTTCCTCACATCCAAGCCGGATGCAAGTCCCGTTGGGTTAATCTCCCACGCTGCTGCGGGCGGCAGTGCGTCTCCTGTAATATATTAATTAAGATTAGATATATATGTACAGGACAGGATATTCATGCATTTGATCAAATTAACATCACAGATAACTAATCAAATCTTCTTTAATGATTTAATGACTTAAGAAATCACAGATGAACATTAAGTACATGTATTTTCTACACGGATACCAAGTTTCAAGTCAATCGGATGCATGGTTCAGTAGTTATAACGGAACATCCGTAAAAACCAATGTAGATTTATATAAATATATATTAATTCGTGAAGGAAAAACTTTGTATCCCTTTTTACGAAAATTGCGCGGACGGAGGAGCATAAAATTTCCTTGACTTATAGAGAATATAGAGCAGGAGTGCAGAATGTTAACATTTATTTAAAATATGCATTAAAAATACATTAAATCAATAATAAAAACATTACACACACCATCATGTATCTGAGACACACACGCATGCATACTATTTGTTTATTGTCAAACTTTTCTTATGGTCTAAGTCTGTGGTCAAATCGAGAATAGATTAAATATTGTTTGTCTCTATTAATATTTGTCTAAAGTGTAGTCTTGGCGAAACCTGTGAATATAGAAGTTTATTAGTCTTTGACAATAAAATCATAATAGTATACAAACTTATAATTTCAATTAATTATAGTCGAATTTCGACTACCGGTATACCACTAGTTAGTATAGATAGATGATGATGATATTAATTTATCCCTAATGGGAGAGGCAAAGGACTTTTGTCCATACAGCCAGGTTAGTATGGATAGATTGATTTTGAAGTTACCTGTCAGCGGCCATTAGAGCTTGGTGCGCGTCACGCTGCGCTGACACTTGCACTAGCTCCGCGACTGTAGCCGCTTGCTGCTCCGCTAAAAGAAACAAAATTACTTTCTTATAATATTACTAGCTGACCCGGCAGACTTCGTAATACCTCAATCGATAAATAAAACACCTAAACTTTTGTATAAAATAAACTTAAAACAAATAAAAGGAATCCTTCCGACGGGGGACACATCAAAGGAAAAAGAAAATTGATATTTTTATTTAAGACTAACGAACAGAAATTCATTTTTATATATAGATAACTAGAAATATAACATAATATATTAAATAATATATAATTTAATATAACTATAAATTTACTAGCTAGTCACATTCAAACACAAAATTTCTAGGGTATGGATATTTGTATATAACCAAATACTTTCTACTGTCTATTTATTGTAAGTTTTAACTCGGTGTATAATATTTTTAGCTTCTATAAATTTATCTTTATAGTAAAAAAAGCCTTTCATTACAATTATTATTGCAAATGATTTTAAAATGTTTTAATTATATTGGGCAACGAAAAATAAAGTTATGATTTTTTGTGTAACAAAAGCAAAGTGGAATGATCAGAGATATGCTTTACTGAACCAAATGATTTTATGATTTTAGTGTTTATATGTAATGCGTGCACAAGAAAACACCACAAGAGATTTTATATTTCTATTTGATCACTAATTTTCGATGGATCATCATCAAAACCGAAATACAAACAGTAAAATATACTATAATACATGTATAATAATGAAATAGACTAATGATGTTTTCCTGTGTTTGTTTGTTTAATAATAACACCGTAAATACTCAACAATCGAAAAACTCATTTCGTTTAACAAAACAAAAAAAAACGTAAAAATCGAAGCGCGTTCGTGGACCGCGTTTCATGAACTATGACGTCACAGTACTAGATTTAACACAGCGGATTTTGATTTCGTATAGTCGGATATATGAACTGTCGTTTATGTGTCCGTGAGTCGAGTAGTTACAGTGGCTGCGTGGTGGACATAAGCCGCGCCAATAAAGAAACGAATCAAAAATGGCGTCTATGTACCTGCACTGACAGATGGTAGGGTCAACAAACAAAAAGAAAGATGGAAAGAAAAAGTTGTTTATGGTATAAAAATATAAAAAAAAAACAAATGAGAATGTACTTTAATTTACTTTATGCCATGGCAGAGGGGGAAGTGTCTCATCTGGGATGCAACTTGGGTGGACGGTTTTGCTGCCAGTGAAAGTGAAAAAACTCGAACTCAACAACAAAGTCAGAACCGATATTTTTTTTGCGTGCAGTACGCGCCGTGTGCGACTAAAGACAGCAATAGTTTAGAGTGAGAGCGCATGATCGCCGCCGCCATTTTAGATTCGTTTCTTGATTGGCGCGGCTTAAACAAGTGTTACCGGAGAGCGGTCTTGTTAGTCTGCGTTCGAGTCGCGCTAGTCTGCGGGCTGTCGACTCTCCCCTTGGCTCTTCTCGCGCACGTCTCTGAGCCACTAGACGCGCCCATCGAGCTTCGAACCACAACTGCATAGCGTCGCGTTCGTCTACGTCGCACGCCGGACCGGCTGTATGATTCGTTACTATAGATTTTGTACCAGCGATTCTTCTATAGCCTCGTATTTATAGCTCGATTTCTTGTTGTTACTATTTAACATATTGACTGCCATGAAGGTCACCGGTGCCCTACGCGGCGCAATCAAGTGATCATGTCGTATTCTGCTACTACGCACCTGGATTGTCTAACTTTGCCTTCTTTTGTTTGTTAAAGTACGTAATAGTCTTTTAGGTATCTTAGAAATAGTTCTCGGTATCTTCGGATTTGTCTTTCCCAGAGTTTACTAAATATTCCGGCGCTTTATTAAGAAGATCGAAGAGCGATATAATTACCACAGTGCGCCGCGTAGGACACTGGTGACCTACATGCCAGTCAACGTCTTAATGATCTGAAGTTTCAAATTCTAGTAAAATATCTAGCACCCTAAATTTGTATTATTGTTAAGTGCTAGGTAGAGGTAGCTATTTCAATTATAAGTCATTTATTGAAAATTTTGTTACTACTAATATTAATAAGTTTACCTCGTATTGGCTGTTATTAAAAATTGACAAGAATTGGACAGCATTTATTTGACACACATTTGTGTAACAATAATGTATGAGAATTCATATTTTTTAATGTATTAATAACTTCTCGCTTTTATTTAATATAAGACGTTTATAATACAGTATTTCTGATAACTTGCACATTTCTTTATTTATTTTCGCTAGTACAAAACCATAGTATGGCTTTGAGATATGTTAAAAATGAATGTCACTGTGTTTTGAGAACAAAGCAATAAGACAATAATTGTCTTATACTAAAATAACATCTTTTTTGAGATGCATTTTTTTTGAGCAAATATATTTTCTAGTAATTTATTTATTCTGAAAACACAGTTCGTTGTAGTTTTTTTTTTCGTGAGGCATGGCTATGACTGCAAAACAAATATGATGATTAATCACTAACATTTTCAAGCCATGCAAGGATTCATACACAGATTCTTTCCTAGTCTATATAAACTGGTCATGATTTGTGCCCTACAATGACATTGCGTTATGATATTGAATACACGTGTTGTATAAATGCAAAACTTACCGTGTGACCAAACCAATCAGACTATCTTTATTAGGAGATATTAATGATATACATATTTATATATAACATTGAAAAAAAAGTTTATTTTAACTAAACGATTATCTAGTGAGGATCTTGTGTATTTTCTATATTCGAAATTGTGACTTTAACTTTTTCTACTTTGTATTCCTAATTTATAGCTGGCAAATAGTTCAAACTGAGTTGTGAAGATTATAAAGAGATTGGGTTCTCTGTGAGCTATATATAATTGAGCTGAGAGCATGGTGACCGTGTATCCAGTTATGATATTGGAGATTTCTGAAGATACTCACGTGGCACTCGCGGGGGAGACTGCTGCTCGTGCGGTGGGGTGGGGGGCATATATCCTGCAGGCCGAGGGGGCACAGGTGGCGCCTCCTGCTGTAGAGCTCCAGTCGACTTGTGAGCGTTCGTGATCCTTTGCTGAGGTTCCTGTATTCATACATCGATGTATCACAGTTGATTTCTATTCAACTACCCAATTTAACTTGCATTATTATTTGTACTATTTATTACATTTAACTACTATGTTTCATTTTCAAATACGTTGGGAACATTACACTTTTTGAAGTGAAACTTCCTTATCGGCGTTGGAAAAAAATTTACCGTCACATTTTTCGGTTACGCGTCACTTTTTTCCGTTACGCGCCATCTGTTTTGTATTCATGTCTATGATAATAAAATCCTTTTGTTTAAACTTTATCTAATTTAACTTTTTTGTATTCATGTCTATGATAATAAAATCCTTTTGTTTAAACTTTATCTAATTTAACTTTATTTAACCAATTTCTAGAAAGTTGCATGTAGATCATTTTTCGAAAAATAAGGCCATAAACAAGTTTCACTTCTTACGTGTGTACACTAGTACACGCACACATTTTTTATTTTTGCTTAGAAGGGTGGACGAGCTCACAGCTCATCTAAAGTTAAATGATTACTGGAGCCCATAGACATTTACAATGAAAATACGCCACCCACCTTAAGATATAAGTTATAAGGTCTCAGTACAGTTACAACGGCTGCCCTACCCTTCAAGCCGAAACGCATTACTGCTTCACGGCAGAAATAGGCGGGGTGGTGGTACCTACCCGCGCGGACTCACATGAGGTCCTACCACCAGTAATAATTTTATTACAGTAAGTTACATTTTTATTACTAGATTGAAAATCGATTCGATATAAAATTACAAACTTTTAACAATAAATTCATTTTTTTTTATTGACCTTGTAGGCAGATGAGTATACGACCCACCTAACGGTGACTGGTTATCATCGCCCATGGACTTCAGCAATGCCAGGGGCAGGGCCAAGCCACTGCGTACCGATTTCATTAATGAACATAAAAATGTATTTTTATAACAACGTTTATCATGCAAGTGAAGCGATCATGCACGATTACTTAAGTGAGGAGAGACATGGTATAAGCACAAGGACATGCCGATACAGAAACTATGAAATACACATGACACTAATGATAAAGGTAGATGATACGACAGTAATGGTGGACTATTCAAAACAGATAGATAACATAATATAAAGAGACGCTCTTTCGAAACATATCGACGCTTGAAAGGCAAACGTGACTAAGCGACAACGACTGCTTTATACATAAATGATAGGCAATAACCATATTCGATGCAAAAAAAAATATATTTCAAAGTCTATTAAAATCACGTCAATCTTACAGCTAGATTCGTTAAAAAAAATTTTTTTTCAGGTATAACAACTTTAAATTAGTCTACTGTAAAGTTCACGCATTGTCGCTTAGTCACGTTTGCATTTCAAGCGTCAATATGTAACATCTCTAAAACAAAAAGAAAATAACGTTATCAAGGGAGGTATTAATTAAATTAATATTTCGTCGTTTTAGTGTAAATTTTCTGCAATCCGGGGCGTGGTAGACGCAATCGCGCCCTCTCAAGGTCGCTTAATTCTAGCAAGAGTTTATAGAGTTTGTGTTACATTGCGTGCTACGTAAAAGCTATCAAAACTACCGCCAAAATGTCTTCGTTTTGGATATATTATTTTCGAATATAACTAGTTTTGTAAAAGAACATTAAGCTGTCACTCAATTTAACTGATGTACGGAAGTAAAGATTTTTGACAGACATTTTAAATTATTACTTGTATAATACGAGTATTCAACAAAACACAAGACAAATGAGATGTGAGTCTCCATTTTTATGCATGAATCTGGACAGGAAATATTACTTTTGCTAATTCTGTATTAATAATAATATTTTAAAATATGTTTATTACGACAGAGACGACTCCACTATAAGCATACTAAAAATGAGTCGTCTATTATCAAAGGTGGCAATCTGTGCATTTGAACAAGAAAATGTTATTAATATGTCAATACAGATTGATTTGAATATAATCGTCTCCTTCAAAGAATACGGTTCAAAACCTGCATTAAATAAAGGTTAATACTTAACCTGTTATTTATCTAAGATGTCGTTCAGAAGAGTTTTGTGGCTGCCAATGGAATACAAAGTCAATAATTCGTTTTTCTGATTTACCAATAATTGTCCAAAAGTCACATTTCCGGCTTTGATACTAGTCGACTCAAATATCTAAAATGTATGATTAAATCGACATTTAGCAATCAGACATTCAACAACAATAACAACAACAACAACAAGACAACAAGAATCGATGACGACAAAGAAAGACAACAAAGTAAGCGTATTCCGAAACAACGAACTACCAGCTTGATACAACACATAAGCTTACAGAATCTTAGATAATAAGATCTCACGTAAATATTGAAAACGATGTGACGCAAGCTATGCGAAACGTATAACATGAGAGCGTGCATACTGTGATATACTCGACTCGACACACGATACTTTTATATCGATTAAATTATCGATTTTCCGAAAATCGATTTTAAATCGGCTTTTCGATTTGGCATTGTGTTATGATTTTTAAAAGTATCGCGTGTTCAGTCCCTTTGGCATGCCACTCACGACAGATTCAAATGCTATGCTTACGTGCCACGTCAGCTCCGGCTCGGAAACCCACTGAAAATTCAACTTTTGTTAGTCTACCGGTGTCCTAATCTACGAAAAATTTCATAAATAGAAAAAAAAATACACGAAATTTTGAAAATTTGGAAACGGGTAACTCTTTTACATATTATGCAAGTGTATAATTAAATTGTTACCAGTAACAAAAATTTTGAAGTTCAATTTCAAATGTAAACATAATTGTGATTTACGTGTTTTTCTTAACAATTTCAATGTTACTCTCCTCCAAATGTTTTATAGAGAAAATTAAAACAGTGCCAACAACTATTCCGACTCCGTGTTTAACTAAAATTAAAGCCAAATCGTGGACACCCTTCTTTTTGTTAAACTCCAATACCGTTTGGGTTATAATTTGTACAATATTCACATTTTCAGTGTGATTTTTTCATTTGTTGAATGGAATCTTAGTGTATATTAGTTTTTAACAATCAATCTTAATATTCGATACATTTTTTAATGTAATGGAAATGTTCTTGTGCATCTATGCAATGAACGATGTGCATTGCAGTGACAATTATCACACAATTGATGTCAGGTACCCTCTGCTTGCTTTTAGTGAATATGTTTATATGATTAGACGAGGATATTATGAGCTCACCTTATGTCGCGGTCCGAGTCTACGATTTAGATAACTCGATATGCTCTTCATTATGCCCTTGCTTCGCCTTTCCCTCGCGAGTTCTGGGTCGGAGAATGAAGGGGTGACTTGTATAGGCATAAGGGGAGGAGAAGGTCTCGGGGGTGGTGGCGGCGGTGGAGGCTCCGGCAATACCGGCGGAGGAGGTACGGGTGGAGACATGCTGCATGTAGGCGATGCACGTATTCTTCGGTTGCATTTCCTATTCGCACGAGGACCGCTGCCGAGTCTCTCCAGGACCAGTCGTCTCACCAGCTCGGTCTGTTCCTCTCTTTCTCGCTTTATCTCTTGTACTTTATCAGTTGTGTCCTGCGCCAGCACGGGACTCATTGGTGATATGGAACTTGCCGAGCTCAAGTTGATCGACATCGATACGTCACCGCTTCGTGGGGACTCCAAGTTGCGGGAATTCGATCTGTGGAAGGTTTCGCTTGCGGACCTGCAGATCGCCGGAGAATAGAGCCTTATCGAACAAGACCCAGAGAACGGTATGGAATTCGGAATTATACTGGACATGGTTGACTCGGAGATCAGCGGCGGCGAGGCCTCCTCTAACGACTCAGTCTTATCTACTTTATCTATCGGGGAAGATACCTCCGATAGACTCAGTCTCCCTATTTTCAATTCGGGAGTTGAGCTTACGTTTGTTATGCTATCACTGGTTTGTTTCTCGCTCGTCGACCTGTCGCTTGGATCGGTGTCTGTATACTTTAAGCAGTGCGGCGGCGACTTTAACTCGCCTTGAGGTTCTGATACGGCTTCTATTTCAGCGCTCGTTTCGGTGATCGGCTCCTCTTGACGGACGCTAACTTCTTGGCTAGCGGGCTTCAAAACGGTCTCCGAAAAGGTTTTTTCGATGAAATTCATGGAACGATCGTTGCTCGGCGAATACGCGTAGTCGTCGTCGACCAGCTCCATGTAGCCGTAGTTCTTGGGCGTGAGGGGGCTTTCGAGGGACGGATCTTGTTCTCCCTCGTCAGCGAACTCGAAATGTTCTAACGCGTTCGAATAAACTACCGGTTCGGTGGGGCTCGTCTTGCCGCATACGTGCGACGCTACAGCTGATATGTTCTTGGCTTCGTGCACCAGCTTTGGCCCGCTTAATGTCCTGGGATTCTTGCTTCTTTTCCTGTCGTCCTTCTCGTCAAAACCACAATCGTCTAATACTCCACTCTCGGCCGCCCAGTCCGACAGTTCGGTTTCGGTCAAAGCTAGGGTAGTGGCATCTCTACACGACTCTGAAGATTCTGACTCTGCAGCCACGACTGTCGGACCAGTCACGGTGGCTGCAGCTGATACTTTCTCATCGTTGTCTTCGGTACAACTGTTGACAAGCATCAAGCTATCTAACTGTATCAATTCCCCACCTTCGTCGTGCACTTCGACTCTTGGTACGGCCTGGTTCGGTGCCGTGGCCGTGTGTGATGAATCCTCAGAGAGCGAGTCCGATTCTAAGTCGAGACGTCCCTTGTTGCCTTCGTGTAGGGTATCAGAGCTCCAATCTTTGCAGAGCGGTGAGTCTATTTTAGTTAAGAGATCGACGGGCGCGTCGTTGCATAAGTTCTTAATGATATCGGGCATTGGCTGCGGTTTTATATCACCATCAGCGGTTTGAAAGCTGACGATCGGTTTCTGTGGCTGTGCGATCGAAGAAACTGGAGCGGGATGCAGCAACTTCTGAAATTCTGTTATAGTTGAACGGAAAGCTTCGAATTTATTGTCTATTTGGGAAGTGGAGTCCGATTTTCTAACGGCAGGCGGGGACGGTTCCCCTAAGAGGTACTTTCGCTTGAGTTCGAGGGCTCGTTTGGTTGCGAGTCCGCCGGCTGAGCGAGTCCTGCTAAGAGGGTAGTCCTGAGGAGGCGGAGGCGCTGGAGGTGTAGCCTCCGTGACTAGGATGGCAGGAAGCGAAGGCACCGGTGCGGTTTCTTCGCGAGCGAATTCGCTATCAGTCGACACTTCCGTCGCGGACGACACTTCCTCGTCACTTGACTCCTCTTCACTCTCCTCTTCTGACTCCACCTGATCAAAAACTACAAGTTAAAAATCAATATTTTGTAAATCACCATGATTTTAGAGAATACACATTTTGAAAATATTTTCAAATCAAGCAAAACGGGCAAGCCGTCGATTATAAAAACGCTTGTCAATTTTTGCTTTTCACAATATCAAGACTGCGAATGTTACCTAATTTAAGGATAAAAACTATGTTAAAAGTTAAGTCTAATTAAAGAAAGGTGCGCTGCAGAATGTCCGGTGTTTTCACACTAACTTACCGCCTTGTACACTAGATGGCACACTACGTGACGTATTATCATATTATATTATAATATATACAAATTATATGGGACTCTGTCAATGAAACAAGCGACATTTACTGGATAGACGTCTCGTTTTTATTTAAATTATGCGATATCAATTGTTTCTCGTTTTCAGAGGCATAAAGACAGATATGTTTCATCAAAAACATATTTTTGTATTTTTCTTGGAGGAGTCTTAACTTTTTTTTTTTAGGATTGAATGATTACTAGGGGTCCGACGCCCTTTCCAGTTTCACAGGAAGACAGGTGGGTGAGCAAAGGCTCAGCCAGAAGGGGTGGGATTTGCTACAGCTGCCCGAGCGCCTCCGAAAGAGACTTAACCACTCAAGAGCAGCTACTTCGAGAATTAATCTACTACCGGATTGGAATCGCGATCCGCTGAGAAGATCCGGCGAGAAACTCAGCGGGCTGATGCATGGGTTAGGTTGCACGTCGAACTCTTTGTCGAGTTCGACGAGTACGGTTACCGGGGTCCCTAAGCCTGCTCCTAGTGTTAGAGCTAAAGGCGTCCAATGCAAAGGTTATTGGATCTGATGGATCCGTAAGGACGTGTCTAGGGCGGTGTCTTAACTCTCCTGTAATGCCTTCATAGTTTTAATTTATTTTGAAAATGATACCAGATTGTGTATAAAATCGATTTTTTTCTTTCTGACCTTATGTGTCTCAATATCAATATTTGTTTTACCTTAACATAAAATTTAGCATACTTGTTTCATGGACTATGTATGTATTGAAGAAAATAAAAAGTTCATTCCGATGTAATAAAACACACAAAACGACATTGAGTTATTTACACATAACATACATACGAATATATAATATGTGTGTATTTACATAATAATATACTGGGTATCTAATACATATTTATTATATATTTTGTCAGATAAAATCAGTTTTAACAGTGCAAGTTTAATAACACAACAAACAGTGCTGATATGAAACTCTTTTGTCCGCTTTTTACACTTCTTACAATATTTAAGGAAGCGTGTATGACCCCAAGCAAAGATCACTTCTAGTATTATGGGTGTCGAAATACGAACACATACGAATAGATACGAGTCAAATTTCACTGATACTGGGTACTATCTATTTAGGGCCATCTGCGTTGGCCATTCAAGACGCTATCTACCTAAGAACTGAGCTATTAGGATTCCCGTTGTTACTATTCGCAAGTAACATCTACTATACTCGCCTAGGCTCAAATGCAATGACGCTGGATAAATACAATTATTATCCTTAGGGAATACACTTCCCTAATTGCTAGGGTAGTGCTGGGAACCGGAGCAGTTACAATCACTCTGCTATAAAGCCACAGGTGATTTTATGAGTAATAAACATTTGCATTTCTTAAAAAGACACCAAATTGGAAGTGGCGTTGTGATTGGTCGTGAATTGGTCCATGCTAGATTTATTTGATGGAATACCAATCAAATATAACAGTTGGCGCAAAAAAGAAAACAATTAAACATTATGTGTAGAGCTTTAAGGACACGTTAATGACACCGAAAACAAGTTCAAAGCACTTTTGTCAAAGATTATAGTGACATCAGCACCGATGATGTCCCCATTTGCACTAGAGCACCTTTTTCACAGTATTATAACACTTACAATTTACAACTGATTCAAATAAATAATAAAATAATCTAATGGTTTAGAAAATTGTGAACAAATTATATCGAGTGATAATTAATATATTATATTGAATACATAAATACATTCAAAAGCGCCATCAAAGACTAGAAAGTTTACTGTTTTATTTAAGAATAAATTCAGTTAAAACTGCTCAAGAAAAATTAATTATAAAGTACATAACACGAGTTAATATGCGTGTACGATCAAAAACTAAAATTTTGTTCATAAAAAAAAAAACTTATTGAATTATGAGTAAATGCTGTAGTAATATAACGTACTTTTATTTTTATTTTTTATTGCTTAGATGGGTGGACGAGCTCACAGCCCACCTGGTGTTAAGTGGTTACTGGAGCCCATAGACATCTACGACGTAAATGCGCCACCCACCTTGAGATATAAGTTCTAAGGTCTCAGTATAGTTCGTACGATAATACGTTTAATTAATAAAACAGTAAACTTATGAAGACGGAAGTTAGTGTGAGCAAACTACACTCTTACCACGCTTTCAGCCGCCGCTCCTTGTTATGGATAGCGTGAATGAATAAGCACATGCTGGAGGATTGAAATTTAATTAGAAATGGGTAATTTTCATAAATACTGTCGGCTTTTTTAGGGAAACGTACTAAAAGCAAAAATTTTGACTTAATAATAATAATAATAATAATAAATTTTTATTATTATTAAATATATTATAAAAAAAAGTACATTTTATTTATTTTACATTGACCATGGCTGGTCTTGAGCCAACATGGACTTCATTCCAGTGCCTCAGTATAGGGCAGCAATAGCGACTCCCTATCGCGGCCAGGAGGCTGTTAATGTATGCAAAAAAAAAAATTCGGAAAATCTTTTCGTTGAAATGGAATTCTTCGTTGTGAAAAGAATTCTGACTGCTTGCATTATTTTCAAGGGAAATTCTCATTTTATAGTGTATTGCACAAATTTTTTTGATATCTGCGTGCGATTGTTTTCGTCTATATTACATATTAAAAGTAGAAGCAGCAATGCTTTTGTTTAAACAGTGGTTGTTTTTATTGTATGTACTGAAATAATCCGACACCAAATTTCATGTCTGCCAATCTTGCAGCCAATGTTACATCGTTTCAATTGTATGGGTAAGCGAATGTAACGAATACGGAAAATTTTAAAGTTTAATGAATATTGATGGTTCTTTGGTGGTTAGATGGTTCTTCGAGCCGAATTCGGATGTAGGCCGAGGGCATTATTAATGGCATTAAAGAAATACGCATGTAGGATGTGATAGTGAAAATGATAGCGGGGTATGTGTAGGGGCGGCGACTAAGCACGCGACGCGGCGCACCTCCCGGTGTGTGGTCGCCCTAGAGGCTAGGCGACGACGCAGCGCGGTACCTCGCTGCTGTCAGTCGGGAGCCGATTGTCGGCCGGCACTTCGCGACGCCGAGCCTCCCGGGCAGCCCTCATTCGCGAGCACGACTCATTCCCTGATGATTCCGCTCCTATAAAAGCAAAAATATATTGCATAATACTATTTACCATTTTCTGTCATACAAAATTGTATACTTCATAGTTAATACTATCAGAAGATTTTCGTATAAAACTCATCGATATTAACTATAGTACTATATAGTAGTTTAGTATTATATGTATATTGCCTAAATTGTTAAAGGGTTGTTGGAAAAAAGTACCTTATAAAAACTTTAACTTACAAAAATACAAAAAAACAATGCCAAATTCACAGCAAAACAATTTTAAATGGTTATTTATAAATGTTATTAAATTATTAAAAACGTTATAGGTGCGCGCGCTGAAAGATGTCAGTACAGATACCAAATACCTATAATCAGATTGCGCAATAGTCAGTATTCCGACGCTTTGCACTTTATACGCGCTAATCGAGTCGATCTATCGACGGTTCGCGCTCAAAGGGTTAACTAAAATCGATTACTACTATCTAATCACGAGTATACTAACCGTCATCTGAATAGTCATCGTAACCGAATGAATCACCAGAAAAATAGAGATCTGTTCGCGGAGAGCGCACTTCAGCGATCCCTTGAGGTTCCGGCGAGTGATCAGCTTCGTTGTCGCCCTCATCTGCATCCGTGTAATCTTCTGAACTTGATTCCTCTTCATCGCTGTAGTAGTAATGTAGACATCGAATTATACGCCAGAACGTAATCAGAAATTCATTGAATCAGCAGAAAATCTTAGTTTCAACAATATGTAACTATACTTGAGCCCTTAGAACTTATATCTCAAGGTGGGTGGCGCATTTACGTTGTAGATGTCTACGGGCTCCAGTAACCACTGAACACCAGCTGTGAGCTCATCCACACATACATAAGCAATAAATAAATAAATGGTTTTTATCAGTCTTTGACCTATTTAAACTCCTATTATTCCTTTATTATCACACGTACTCATGCATACGTATGTTACTACTGAGTAAAAGTCTCCACACAAGTTTCCCTTTTCTTTTTCCTTGACTTTATGGGTGAAACAGATAATTGCTCGACCGAATTGTCCCGGGGATATTTATGAAAGCTGGAGGCTGTCGAATATAAAACGTTTTATTTAGTTATAATTTGTCATTAACTCGTTTTTTTTCCAATTCTGTGACGTCACAACACCCTTCCTTTCTAGAGATAGTCATCACACTGACCTAAGACCACCAGCTCCCGACGTTTCGCTGGCTAGGAAGTTCCTGTCAGTCCATTCGTCTTCGTCGATTTCCCTCGCTCCGCTGTCGGATAATTCGATGCTTATTCTTTCCGGCGTGGGCGTGGGAGCCTGACTCCTGGTCGGCTGGGGAGCATCTAAAGCAGAAGCGGCAGCCACAGCATCGGTCACGCTGACTCCCGAATGCCGGAGACAGACGAGACGGTTGCCGTAACGTTCCATTTTATAGTTTCTGAAATAACCACATTATAAATTGTTAAATATAATTTGATATTTACAGTTTTGTCCGTTCATGATATTTTAAGCTGACAAGAAAGGTTGAGAATAAAAAAGTTCGATTATATGTTTTAGGTATATATCGCACATACATACGGTGCGATAACGTCACCTACGCAAATTATGTAATTTTTCAGGAGAAACGTTGGAAAATTCAATATCTTATTATATATATAGTTCGGCTAGACTAAAGAAGTAAAAACGATAATATTTCAACTACAGCTTTAAATTTCATCAGTGAAAGCAAACATCTCACTGATATAGCTATTAAAAATTGTATTTTCTCATACTCAGTTCAGTTGTCCGATATGTAAAAACCCTTTACTTATTACCGTGCATTATATTTTATATCTATTTAAGATTCGTCAGGTAAAGCTTGTCTTTTGCAAGCTGCGCGCACACTACGACTTTTTACGTCCAGTCTGGTCCTGTGGCCAATAAAAAAAATGTGTGTGTGCGAAAGTCACACTCGAAAGAAGTAATGAGTGAAACTTATGAAAAATACAAATAATCGCAAGGGTCAACCACTCCGCAGTGCAATGGAATAGCCTCACCCTGGGGGAACCGCCTGCATAATCACGGTAACCCTACGCCAGGTAAGTATGACTTAGCAAAAGAAATACGAGAACGTCTATCAACTGTGTAACATCTCGTCACCGCGATTCAGGAATTATTGAATTTACGTGCAGCGACATACATCTGTTGATTACAAACTAAATAAAAATAAAAGTATCTCAGGGCGCTCCGAGAGCCACGACAGCGTGCACGGACGTCAAAAACACACTGAACTAGTCGGGGACGCCTTTCATCACGATGAGTTTGGAAATTTACCCGGGTCGCAGTACCGTCTTGCAGACGGCACATCGGAAGCACGCCCTGTGTAGATGCAGTCCATCCGCCGTCACGCCCTCGGCGGCGAAAACCCGCGTTCCACAGGCGGCGCATTGCATACCCGTCGACGCCGGTCCGCGCCAACCACGCTTGACCTTTCGAAGTTGGAAAGGTTTATGTGAGACTATGTATGACCCGACGCGTATATGAAGATTAAGAGCAAGATTTTAATATAAATTGTAGTTTAATTTTATCTAAAAAAAAAATTGCATTAGCTATTGATTTTAAAAAATACTTATAATCTTCTTTTAGAATAAAGTATCTATAGATAATTGTTCTACAAATTAATATAGGTATTGCAGATAGATACGACTAGGTAGGTAGGATAGGTATACGTCGATATGTGCCAAGAATAAAAAAACTACATAAGTAATAGCTACACTTTTTGAAAATAATAATAATAATTGCCATCAGCGGTCCATGTCAATCTACTTTTATATCGTGTTTATTAAAAATAGTATTTATAATCCCTTTTAAAAAATGTGTTATTAATAAGATTTTAAATAAATATACTATAGTAATAATAATACTATCAAACAATTAAAGACTAACTATGTATCTACATTGAAGCAGTACTTTACTGCCGTTTCGACTTTTTATGCGGTTTCTTTAAAACATACATTAACTTCTACTGTTCCAATGACGTCTTATGGCATCTCGTTATGGAGACGTGCATCTAATTCTGAACCAATAGCGTTATGCAGAAGAGTGCTTGCTGTCTAGACAATTTGTAACAATATAGAATATCATTTTCTCACTTTAAGTCCCCAAATCATTTATAGAAACTTCATGTTTCTTTATATTTCGGTGAACATCAAATACACGAGTGACAAGTAATTTACATGCACTATTACGTACAAAAAAAAATGTTTTTCCTACCATTACACTGGTAGGCTATGAGGCTATTTCATAGAATCTACCACCGGATCGGAAACGCGATCCACTGAAAAAATCCGTCGAGAAATTCAGTGGACTGTGTCTATGGGTAGTTCGTCATCGACAAGTTCGACAAGGACGATGACCGATGCTTGTGGTACCTAAAACCACCATTGATGGATCGGGAGGATTCGTAATGACGTGTTTAGGGCGACGTCGACTTTGCGTTAACCCATTGCGGTCGGTATAAGGTTTATCGTGTCGCGCCGCCATTTCGCAGTAGCGTTCAGACGCTTCCTTGAGATACTGGCAAAACGAAAAAATCATTAGATCACTCTATTCTGAACCGGACATTCATCACTTACCTCTTTAGGGCGTCCCTTGTCTTGTTCAGTTTCGTCTTTCTTTACGAATTTAGTTGCCAAATTTGCTACCTGTAATATGTAAAATAATATTAAATGTAAAATGTTGTGTAAAAGATTTAATTTGAAATAGTGATCAAGTGCTCTGTTGGACGCAAGAAATTTGTGGTAGAATATTGAGAACCTAAACGGGTAAGTAGTACCATCCTGTACATTTCTACCGCAAGTAGTATGATTCATGTCTATGATTCCCGAGCATATAATTAAGTTATTTTTAAGTGATTTCATACACAAATAATAATTAAAAAAACAAGTATTTATTATGCATTTTCTTAAGTTCCCAACGGTTCGAAATATTAAAGTTTTTCCGCAAACCTTGAACAGAAAGAAAAAGGATGTAGATAAAAAAGTTGCAAAACCAACCTTTTTAGTTCCATGGTCAGGCCTTCCGGAGTCATTTAATTTTTGATTCAGTTTGTTTAAAGTGTCATCAATTTCTACCCATTTCTCGCTTCCGTCACCTTCTTTTAGTCGTCTTTGCCGTCCAAGAAACTGTTAGCAGAAAAGTGTGTTTAATTTTACTAATTATAATTTAAGAGCATGAAAATACTCAATAATACTCGTAAAAGTAAAACCTTGAAACAATTTCTCAGCTTGAAGTTTCGAATTGGTGATTTGACAATATTAAAACTTGTAAAAATCCTGCAACATTTCATTGAAACAAACTTAAATAATATTTATTTGTTTAAACAAATTTAATAGATTTGAGGTCTCTACTAATACTTTTTGACGAATTCCATCTTACTCTCAAAAGGTCATTCAGAATATTTCTATCATTTTTAAACTACGTGTATGGTGAATTCCAATATGAGACTAAATTCATTAAAAATTCATTATTGGGCGTGCACTATGGAATTGTACTTGTAAGATAGAAATGTAAAACTAGTGTTTGTCAATCAGTCTGGTATTGAAAGCAACAGTTCATGTATCTAGTATATTCGATGTCGCATTAAAATCAACAATTCGTGTACCAAGTATAATCGATCTTAATTTGAATTAGTAGTTTATGTACCTAGTATAAACGGACTTGCTTTGAAATAACAGTTTATGTACCTAGTGTAACCGGTCTTGCTTTGAAATAATAGTTTACGAACCTAGTATAATCAGTCTTTCTTTGAAATAATAGTTTACGTACCTAGTATAATCAATATTCCTTTGAAATAATAGTTTGTGTACCTAGTATAATCGGTCTTGCATTGAAATAATAATTTATGTACCTAGTATAATTAGTCTTGCACTTTACCTGTTCCCTGTCCCACTTTGGTACTTTCTCAGCCGTCTTTGGCTCCGGCCTGCCGAGTCTGTTCTCTAATATTTTCCTCTCAATCTCTTTCATGTTCCAATCGTCCCTTTCGATCTTGCCAACTGAACGCATCAGGTCCTTCGGTTTAGAAGGTCGCGGCGTCAAACTACAGGTGGGGCCGCCGGACAGTTCGGCCGCGAGACGGGCGACTCGGTCTCCGCCGCCGGACGTACGGGCTCCACCACCGACGATACGGCCCTCCTCCTATTAATGCAAGGCAAGGGTGAGATTACAAACGCATTATAATGGTTTTGGATGTTTTTAAGTTTTTATACAAGTCAAACGATTATCATATATATTGAGAACATAATAGAGTTCTTTATTAAATATTGTATAATAATTATCCTAATACCTATTTAATTTGCCTACTACTCTAATCAACTGTATTAAAGTATACAAACTTCAAAATAGTGGTAAGAAAAAACTTAGAATTAATCTCTAAATTGGTCTGAAAGTTCCTCTTAAGTAATTACTGTGAAATTATAAATAAATCTTGTGATAATAGGTATGAAACAATTAAAACAACATATTGATTTTTTTTTAAGCAATATGTCGTTTTTGTCCACTCCAGACAAGAACCACTATATTAAAGCCTGTATATAGAATAAAAATTGCACTAAATTTCACTAACTGACTTTAGTCTAACATCGATTCCTTATTATGAGATATTACATAATTTATGCAAAGAAAAAGTTTACAACATTTACTTATATATTTTATTTTTAGTAAGACAATAAAAAACATTAAATAAATATCGATTTGCATTGAATACTACTCAACGATTCAGTCATTCATTCTCTACGGTACAGTTAGTATAAAAACAACAGTGAAAAAAAAAAAACATAAGTGTAGTTAATTGAGAACGATTGTTTTATTAATTCATGCAACACACGAAATCCATTATATCGCTATTTCAAGTGTTAGTATGCGCAGAGAATTCTGCGTTATATCTTCAGGCACACTGTCGATATTTCAATGAACGGTGTATGAGATCAATTAAGCTAAAAGTGCAAGTATTGAGGTTAACCTCGTACTTCTTTATTTAGCAAAATATGTTTAGAACGACACTATGATTATAAAAAAATATTATATTTTTAAAAGTATATTTCTAACGATAAATAAAATCTATTGAAACATCTATTTATTTGAACCCAATTAGCTTACTATTTAAGTTCTACTAAGATATATTTTTGACTACTGATAAACAAAGAAAGTGATCTCATTCACCGACCAGGAGGTGTGTATACCTCCCGCACAGGCGTCGGTTACATCTCATGCAACACACATCTGCAATCTCGCTCACATAGTGCTGCAGCTTCCGTTCTAGTTTCTTGACGCGCTCCTCGAAATCTGGAGCACTGGCCCGGTACTGCTGCAGACCGTAGTCGTTTTCGAGGTCGGCCGAAGGCGCGAAGTCCAATCGAGGCTCGGCCGCCAACATTTGCACGCTCTTCTCGAATCGTTGTTTCATGATCTCTCGAGCCGCTTTGCGCCTGCTCATTGTCTTCGGACGTTTCGCTTCAGCGTTCTTCTTCTGCATAATATCGGACATTCTCTGCATCCTGAAGGACATTTCGGCATTGTTCTTTCGTTGAGTGGGTTCAAGAGCTAAGGGCTTCGGTCCTTTAATCAAATCGACGACGCGCTGACGACGAAGCTCCATCTCAGGATTGCCGATCGATTCGTGTTTCACCCTATCAGGGCTTGGGGTGTCCCGTTTCTTCCCTTCAATTATGTCAGCCATTCGTTGCAAACGTAACGCCATTTCAGGGTTAGTGGAAGCGGAGCGTGTTGATCTCTTGTCTGGACTTGGCGTGTCTCTTCTTCGTTGGCCTTCAAACATCTCTGCGATACGCCTCGTATTGGCCACTTCGCCGGAATCAATAGAGTTAGATCGCTTGAAGACGACGGCGCTCTCAGAGTCCTTACTTTTTTCTAATACGTCTGATAAGCGCCTGTTTCTTGGCGCACGAAAAGGACTCTCCGACGATCGGGTCAGCTTCTCTCTGTCGACGGATGCAGCCCGAGGTGTCTTCATATCCACTTTGACGACAGTTACGTCAGTATCAGCAGAGTCTTCGAATTCTGTTAGATCCGGAATCTTCACTGAATTAGCGGCGAGACCTTTAAGTCTACGTGGTGGTTTCACCGGTTTTTCAAAATTCTCTTGGAAAAATTGCGCGATCTCGGATTGATCGCGATGCACTTGAGTTCTAGAGGCACCCTGTAGTAGGTGCGCGAGCGATTCCCTCAAAACTTTGGGGTCCGGTGACTCTTCAGGGTCGAGGAGGGCGAGGATCTGTTCCTGCAAGTCTCTCTGTTTGTCGATGCGTAAGTCGCTGTCAGTGGCCGCGTCGTGCCCCTCGATGAGCCTCGCGAGCTGCGTGATATCGTCTAGATCTAGCTTGCCGATCTTTTTCCTTATATACTCGGCTGGATCGTTACTTACTTGTGAGGAGCGAAGGGAGCGCCTCTTCTTCCTGCAACTTGAATGTGATTTGTCCGCGTCCCCTGCATCTGCAAGCCAAATTGATACTGTAATATAGCCACCATCAGACCGATTTGGGATTCAATTCATTTAAATTAGATGAGCCCTGTGCAAATGTAGAGCAAGTGAGTTAATTCGACACTTGACAGACACGTGTCATGACAACGCATTACCGACGTACTTACAGATAAATGAAGTACTTACTTGCATACATAGAAAGAGAGTGTTCAGCTGTGTTCCTGATATGTTTTTCCTTTTGCTGGCTCAGTTTAATCTATAAAATATATTATAATTTTTTATATGTACAATTTTACTATTATATTTTCGATACTTATTTTTTCTTTATATAGACTAACTTTTTCCCGCGACTTCACTCGCGTTTATATAAAGAGAAAGAAAAGATCATAATTCGTAATAAGTTAACTAGTTAAGGTCTGAAAGTGAAACCAGCTCGCTTTCGCTTTTTTTAAAGAAAGTGAATTTGTTGTTTAAATAAATTTGTTGTTGTATGCAGGTGTATTTAAAAACATACATATATATTTTTCCTGTCTTAGTACTTTCATATTTAATTACCGAATAGCTAGTCTACTTTGGGTTGTCGGTAAAAGATACAATATCATTTTTTTAATAAGAACGAGTTCACGATCCCTTTTTTGTTAAATGGTTACGATAGCTTATAAGGCAGCGCAACGCGAATGTCGCCATCCTCCTTGAAAAATAAGATCTAAGTCTTAGTTGTATGGTACATTGGCTCTCCCGTTCTTCTTACTGAAAGATATTACTGCTTCGCGGCAAAAATAGGCGGGGTGGTGGTAGCTACCCGTGCAGGCAGACACACACAGACCACCAGTTGTACCACCGGTAATCATTATGAAAATAAAATATTATCAATCACCCTGTACAATTCAATATGTAAAACATATTGTATAATTTAAAACTCGTTTGTTTTTCCTACCTATCCGAGAGCCTTGAGGGCTATTTCAGCGTAACCATAACTAGTAGGCGAGCTCACGGGGCTCAAATCTGACGACGTTGATAACACGAACCCTAGCAAGAGCCGTGCTTCGCAGAATCAGCCACCGGATCGAAAACGCGACCCACTGAGAGGATCCGGCGAGAAACTCAGTGGGCTGTGTCTGTGGGTTAATTTACTCTTCGATTTACGAGAACGATGACCGATGCTTGGCGTACTTAAAAGCACCGTTAGTGGATCGGACGGAAATGACGTGTTTGGGGCGACGTCGACTGCTTTCCATTTTGTCCGCAGGATCGGGAATGGTAAACTCGGGTGAATGACGGTAAGCCACACAAAACTAAGTTATTCTTTTATTATATAACCAGCAACAAAAGTTATAATTGATGGTTGGAATTTATTTATGATGCTCCTTTCGCATAAAACATTAATCTTATTATAATTTCAAATGATTGACAACAGGAAACTACAGTCTAAATGTAACTTATTAAATGTGTTGTAAATGAATTGAATAAAAATTGTAACGTATTAACATTGAATAAATGATCTTTGAACGAGAATGAATAACATGATGCGGTGATAGGGTTGTCATTATTATTTTAATTTTAAAAATATATCAATTTTTCAAGTTGATAAATAATCCTGAATGGGTATAATGGATGCTTTTCAATTAACGAGTCTCGTGTGCTTAGTGCGAGTTTTTTAACATTCTCGATAGCGTAAAAGTTAACTCAAATTTCTATGGAGTTGGAACAGCGCCCCTAGCGGCAAACGAAGGGAAGAACATCGGTCTCGAGATCGAGCGAATACCACTACTGCATTATTAAAATTGCATGAACGTGTTTACAGCGGACAGAATTCAAGTAATATCAACTAAAATTAATGTAGTATTTTCTTGTTTATTTTTATTTCCGCTATATTTTCTCGAAATTTCAAATATTTAACTGTTTTAGTGATCAGGGTTGTTCGTAAAAGTATGAAAAAATATGGTAAATAAAATAAAAAATTTGATAGAGGTTACCTGATCAAAAACGTCCGTCTCGTGGTGCACGTGAGGCACTTCGCCCTTGAACGCGTTGTATACACGAGCCAGGTACGAGCGAACCTTAGCGTCCGACACGTCTCTCATCGTACCACCCGATGAAAACGGTACTATACCTGTTTAAAAAATATTTGTTTTGAGTGCCCGCAACGACTGGCAACACTACAGTTTCACGCACGCCCACCTGTCCTGGTGAAACAGGAAAGACCAGGAGTCCCTCACTAAAAAAAAAAAAGTTTCACGCAAAGCAAACTGGTGTTCAGATTTGGGCAGGCTCACTTTAGACCGCAATATTTTTGCCTACCCCTATTTATAACCTTGAGGGAGTAAGTCCAGCTTCTCCAGGTTGGTACACGAACTCCGTTTGTAATACTATAATTTCACGTAAAGGAAACCGCTGTTCGGATTTAAGCGGGTTCACTTTAGACCATCATCTTTTTGCCTACAAAATGCCTTGAGGGAGTAGTCCAACTTCTCCAGGCTGGTAGACGAACTGTGATTAGCAATACTATAATTTCACGCAAAGCAAACCGCTGTTCGTGTTTAAGAGCAGGCTCATTTTAGACCACAATATTTTTGCCTACCAACAGCCTTGAGGGAGTAGTCCAACTTCTCCAGGCTGGTAGACGTGCTCTCGGGCCTCAGTCTGAGGTCAGTTATTAGCTGCCCTAGCAAGAGCAGTGCTTCGCTAAACCTACAACCGGTTCGGAAATGCAGTCCACTGAAAAGATCCAAAACTCCGTGCGTTTCTCTAGTTCTAGCTTTAGTTTCCTTTTCTGTTTTTTTTCCCTCTAATTTTCATTAAGTAATTATAATAGAGTGTTGTTAATTTAGCAAAAGTCGGTGCCTTGTTTTGCTACGATATAATAAAGAATTCCGGTTTAAAAGATCAGTCTCGATCCTAAAACAATTCGGTCCTATTATCTATGGAAACTAGGGACGAGACCGAAAACAAAACGCGCCAGTTTTGAATTTGAAATGTTCGTCGACATACGTACCAAACTCGTGATGCAGTACATGGTAGACCGATCGCGGAGTACTCGTGGCCGGCAGTAAGTCAGGTCTGTATCTCCTCAGCAACGCCGAGAGCGCGTTTGGTCCCACCGCAGCCCTTATACCGGGTTCGGACCAACCGACCCACGCGGACAGCACGTCGTCAGACACATCCGATTCTGTATATTAACAATTAACGTCATTATTATTACTAGCGGTCCCTCGGTAGTCGAAAGTCGACTATAACTAATTGAAATTATAAGTTTGTACACTATTATGACTCTATTGTCAAAGATACTTTTCAAGACTACACTTTAGACTTAATAATAATACAGACTAATATTGACAAATAACATTTAATCTATTAAATCTCCATTGAATCACAGACTTTAAGCAATTTTTGAGAAGTTTGACATTAAACAAATAGTATGCACGCGTGTGTGTGTCAAATAGTGACTCTAACGTTTTTTTAAATTGTTTTACTGTATTTTTAATGCATAATTTAAAAAAAAATCATTCTGCACTCCTCTATATTTTCTATAAGGGTGAGAAATTTCATACTCCTCCGGTTCGCGGAATTTTTGTAAAAATACGTACTAAGTTTTATTTTCAAATAGGAAGTTTGTTTTTTGGTCGGGGGCTGTATTAGATCCCTTCACCGAGGGGGGGCGACCGCAAAATAATGGAAGTACTTTTCTGAATAATGCATTAAATTTGACACATGCTTACTAATTTAAGATTGGAAATAACGATTTTCATCGTTTGAAGCATGCAATGTAATGACTTGATTATCTCAAGTGGCGGTTGATGGAGTAAAACAAACTGGTTTCTGATAAAATATGCGTTAATAACTCAAAATCGATTACTTCAGACTTTTTTCCTACCTAAGCAGATGGCCTTGAGAGGCCATTTCAGCGTTACCTAACAAGTAGCTGAGCTCAAGGGGTTCAAATCGGACAACGTTGCTCTCACTAACTCTAACAAGAACAGTGCTTGGCAGAATCTACCATCGCCGGGTTCGACGAGAACGATGACCGGTGCTTGAGGTACCTAAAAGTACCGTTAGTGAATCGGGAGGATCCGTAATGACATGTCTTCAGACTTGCTGCACGCACTATGAGTCTGATATGTACCGATGCGATAAATTAAATGTTCACTTACCTCTGCGACGTTTCCTGATGCTGCTGGGAGCAGCGTCCAAGGGCAGAGGATCGTCAGAGTCATAGAACGATGTGACCCGAATGGGTGTCACGGCACGTCGGTTTAGATTCGGATATCTCGTACCAGGATCGAGGGTGTACGCGCCGAAATCGCGATGTAAGTTCTCAGGTATAGTTTGGGCTAGTAAGAGAAATAGTTTTTTTTTTATTAACTAGCTAAGGTTGCTGGGAATGAGTATGTTGAGTCTCTATATCGGGCAAGGATTAATAAGACACGTTTTCAGTTAAGTGACTAAAGTATATTCGGATTACAACCTAACGTGCTATCTACAGCCCGACAATCCTGAGACTGACGTAGCATCATTGCAATAGTTAGTTACCGCTAACACCTACATATTAATAGTTGCTATTAGGAGATTTATGGTATATTATGAAGATTTATGGATTACAAGTATATCAGAGGAGGTGTGAAAGTAGCTCCAGTCATTGATAAAATAATAAGCTGACGGTTAGCGTGGTAAGGACATGTGATGCGTAGAGAGGGGATGCATGTGACTAAGAGATGTATGGAAATTGTAGTGCAAGGTAGAGGGGAAGAGGTCGACCGAAGAAGACATGGATGGAGTGTGTGAATGACGATATAAGAGAGAAAGAGAAGTGAGTGTTGAGACGACGGCTGATAGAAGAGAATGGAATAGAAAAATTCGCTGTACCGGTGGCGGCATTTACGTTGTAGATGTCTATGGGCTCCAGTAACCACTTAACACCAGGTAGGCTGTGAGCTCGTCCACCCATCTAAGCAAAAAAAAAATTGTATGAAATTAACAAGCAACTCACCCAAAAGTCGATATATAGATTCCCTCTCGGCTATAACTTCAAGTGGATGCGGCGTCGGAGTCTGACCCCAGGCCCTCACTGCCCAGGCTGCATCCAAAGCTGAAAGGAAGCCTCTCGCGCAACCCGAGCCAGTGGGCCAGAAAGGTTCCAGAAGACTGTCTCCGACCAACTGGCAGAGAAGTCGACGACCAAGTCTCTCATATACCTGGACGATTTTAAACGAAATCAAGTCAAATCGACTGGTGTATTTATATTTATCTTTACGGATAGTTCTATTTATGACTAGCTGTGCCTGCCGCTTCGTTCGCGTGGGATTTAACAAAACATTACTTTATTTGAATATTTCAGTTTTTTTTTCTAAAATTTTAAGTAGCTTAAGTTACTCCTTATTACAAAATCAGCTATCTGCCAGTGAAAGCCAGTGATTAGCCGGAACAAACAGACAGACAAAAATTGTAAAAAATGTTATTTTGGTATATGTAACGTATATAAATTCATATGCATGTAGTGAAGAAGCGGTTATTTTAATATTACAAACAGACAATTAAATTTTATTTATATGTATAGTTAGGAAATTACACATTTTAGAGAACAATCATTTGTGTTCCAATCATCATCATAGTCGATTTCTCTTGACAGAGCAGTCGTGGTCATGTGAAATTCTTGCATATTAAAACCTTATCTTATTATTTACTAGCTGACCCGGCAGACTTCGTAGTGCCTCAATCGATAAATAAAAGACCTACACTTTTGTATAAAATAAACTTAAAACAAACAAAAGGAATCCGTCCGACGGGGGACACATCAAAGGAAAAACAAAATTGTTATTTTTATTTAATTCCGAGCATGTTCGTATTTATTTAACTTTTAAACCGTCTCTGAACTTCCACAAATAATGCAAGACCCAAATTAGCCAAATCGGTCCAGCCGTTTTCGAGTTTTAGCAAGACTAACGAACAGCAATTCATTTTTATTTATATAGATGGAAGATAGATAGATTACTTGTTCCAATAAACGCACCAAATTGTTGATCGCGTTTGGTACATACCATGCTTGCATTTTCTGCCGCGTACATAGAAGTGAAGTCGAATAGCGCAACGTCGGGCTCCCCGTAGTGATTGAGGGCGAAGTCCCGGAGCGGCAGCCTCCCGTCCGTCGAGAAGCGCGCCGCGTCCTGCGCGTAACGCATCAACGCCGCCCGATCGACATTCTCGACGCTCAGCAGACGTGATACTTCCGCATAGTCCTGTTCAATTAAATTGTATTTTATTACTATATCAGAAAGAACAGGTGTGATTTTTTTCCCTACTTCAGCTGATGATAGCCTTGAGAGACTATGTCAGCGTAACCAGATGAGTAGGTGAGCTCACGGGGCTCAAACCTGATGTTGTTGCTAACACGAACCCTAGCAAGAGCAGTGCTTCGCAGAATCTATCACCGGATCGGAAAAGCGACCCACTGAGAAGATCCGGCGAGAAACTCAGTGGGCTGTGTCTGTTGGGTTAACTTACTCGTCGAGCCCTTCGTTGCAAGCGACGGGTTCGACGAGAACGATTACCGGTGCTCGGGGTACCTAAAAACACAGTTAGTGGATGGGGAGAATCCGAAACGTGTTTTAAGCGACGTCGATTGTTTACGATTCGGTCAAAACACGTCATTTCGGATCCTCCCGATCTCCTAACAACGGTGAGGTGACAGCATACATATAAAGGAAAAAAAACGATATTAATGCGTTTGAAAAAGAAAAAAAAGAGTATTTTCATTGTAGACTACTGCACATATCATCATCATCTAAGCCTATAGCTGTTCACTGCTGAACATAGGTCTCTCCAATCGATCTCCAAAGCGGCCAGTCTGTCTCCGCCTGCATCCGACATGACCCAGCGGTTTCCAGCAGGTAGGTGGTCACACTGCGCCTGTTAGTACGTGGTCTCCACTCGAAGATCTTTCTGTTCCATTGGCCGTCCGATCTGCGCGTTATGTGTACTCGCCCACTGCCACTTCAGCATGCCGTACAGCTCCCATATCAAAATGATATTACAAATAAACAAAAACAGATCGACACAAACCTTAGACCTTAGATCTCAATGTGGGTGGCGTATTTACGTTGTAGATGTCTGTGGGCCCCAGTAACCACTTAACACCAGGTGGGTTGTGAACTCGTCCACAAATTTAAGCAATAAATAATTAAAAAAGGATCTTCCATAAATTTTAATATTGCATATAATGATTTCAGTCGTTAAACCTTATAACTTCACTTTGAAGAAGACATTAATCAACCATAGAATTGAGTGCACTTAGGCGGAGAAACTCAGGAGAATAAAGAGCTCACCTTTAGTAGCACTCCTTTATCGAGCAGGCTGTGCTTCTTCGCCGTCATCACGAAGTAGTGCGTGTCGTCCTTGTAGTAAACAATGTTCTCCAAATCGATGCCAGTCTCTTCATAAAGCTCCTTGAAAAATTTCTGGTTGAATATGAAAGCGACTCCGCTTATTTCTGGTACCTAGAAAGAACCAAATAGATTTTTATGATAAAATTTAAATCACATTAATATAATGCTATTACAAAATCTTGTGCATTAAAGATAAACTAGTGGTCCCCCAGTAGTCGAAATTCGACTATAATTAATTGAAATCATAAATTTCAACATTATTATGGTTCTATTGTCAAACATTATTATACTTCTATAATATACTAGCCAAAACTTACAGATAAATAATATTAGAGACAAACCATATTGCTCTTAGTATATTTATATGTATGTGTTGTGTCAAATACATGGTAGTGTATGCAATGTTTTTTTTATTGATTTATTCTTCTCTATATTCTCTATAAGTGTGGGAAATTGCATAGATATATTAAAACCATTATCAAATGTTTCTTGAGGAAACCGTTGGTACAAACCATATCGATATATAGTCATTTGTATTAGTAAGCATTTCAGTTCGAATGCTGGGGCAGCTGTTGTACTGTAGAACTGAAACTTAGTTGACACGTCTCGAGGTATCCATCTTTTAGCATTAAAAAGCTTTTAAGTCATTGATGTCTAAGGACTCCGGTAGCCACTTAAAAGGTTAACCATGAGCTCGTTCAACCGTCTAGGCAATTGAATAAAGAAACCTAACAGTATTAACAACGTCAATATTATAAATGAGTCGTCTATTATCAAAGGTGGCAATCTGTGCATTTGGACAAAAAAAAATTATTGATATGTCAATTCAGATTGATTTGAATATAATCGTCTCCTTCAAAGAATACGGTTCAAAACCTGCATTAAATAAAGGTTAATAGTTAACCTGTTATTTATCTAAGATGTCGTTCCGAAGAGTTTTGTGACTGCCAATGGAATACAAAGTCAATAATTCGTTTTTCTGATTTACCAATCATTGTCCAAAAGTCAGATTGCCGGCGTTGATAATAGTCGACTCAAATAGCAGATTTCATGATATATAAAATACTTAATAAATAAATTTCAAATCGTATAAACTTTAATAAGCATTGAAACCTACATTGATGTTTGTTTTATTACGTGTTTGTTAGTCATTTTCTAAGTAACAACCTCTTGATTGAAAACCAATTATACGAGCCATAGCCACAAATACAATCGATCACATGTTTACTGACGAGCATACGGCCCACTTGATGGTGAGTGGTCACCGTCGCTCGTGGATGACGGCAATACCAGGGCCCAAGCCGCTACCTACTTAAAATGTTATTTATTTCGCTTTTTACGTCCCTTACAGCAATATGCTTACTTTATTAGTTTTATGGAAAAGAGCAAATTGTGTTACGTGTGTTAGCTAATGTATTGGGGTATGAATGGCAACCCTAATTCGAAAACTATTTATCTGAGACTTTTTGACGGGAACGCGAGGAGTGAAGTTGTGTGATTGGTTTTATTTTGTCTATTTAGTGTTTCTTCAGGTTTAAATGTGTAATAACGGTGGTTTATTAACTGTTTAATATCTGTGAAAGGGCACAAATGTGGGAAAATGAAACAAAGCCGCTGGACGTAACTTTTCGGAATCCTCCAAAAAGTCCACTGAAAAAATGTCAATAAATGACCACCATTTTACGGAGATTATATTTCATCCTATATCATCAATCCATTATTTCATTTAATTTCATCTAGATGATTAATGTCTCAATTTAATCATCTTATCATTTTTTCATCACTCCATATTATCATTTTTCATAAATTAAGAATATAAATTAAAATAAGACATGACTTAAAGGTCTTAGTTACCAGGTCATAAAATACTGTAAAAAAAATACTATTTATCTCTAAAATTGAACATGATTATACTCACGGAGGCTTCCTGCTCTGTGTGCCTATTTATGAAATTGGCAGTAATGGCCATGGCCAGTTTCCCTCTAAATTCTTTCCTTTTGAATCCTTGCAGCGTGTTCCTTTTGCCGTCGGCACCGAGTAGCACGTCAAACTCGTACTGTGAGACCACGTTGTCGATTGGTGAGACGCGAGCCCTCCAACCTAGTACTAAAAATTACAAAAGTATTTATTTACACATTTTTTTGTTTGTTTTTTTTTGTTTATTGCTTCATTGGGTGGACGATCACACAGCCCACTTCGTGTTAAGTGGTTACTGGAGCCTATATACATCTACAACGTAAATGCCGCCACCCACCTTGAGATATAAGTTCTAAGGTACAGTTACAACGGCTGCCCCACCCTTCAAACCGAAACGCATTACTGCTTCACGGCTGAAGCAGGCAGGGTGGTGGTACCTACCAGTACGGACTCACAAGGGGTTCTACCACCAGTAAAAAACCAGTTTGTTTCTTATTTTTCATCACATCACCGACTGTTTGCCGGTAACACTACACTACAATAGAAAGTTCAAGGGCCCACAATGATAGCATCCTACCTATTTCCACTGCAAAGTGGTCATGCGTGCCGGCTTCAAGGATGAAACAGCTGTTTTAAAATACAGTTAGGATAGACAGCAATCACTTTGTATTAAACACTATTAACCACTTAACACCTGGCCCACGAACACGTATACTTATCTAGTGCAAGAAACCTTCTTTAATTAACCAATAACAGGTTATAACTTTTGACATTACAAATCATTCAGAGACAACAAAGAAAAAAGCTTTACGTTACGTCATGTCGTAATACGCTTTCTTACTTTCAGAGTTTTCAGAAATCGATGGTTCGAGCAGTTCTTCAAAACCAACGCCTTCGTGTATTTCAACACCGAGCAGTAGCGCTACCTGAAACATTATTGGATAAATTAAGGATCAACATTCACGACGAGCGCTAAACTATACTAAAAATCAATATTAACATTATTAAGAAACATTTTTCTTATTCCAGTACCCGTAATGTATGAGTGAAAATTACATTTTTTTCAATCATTCATTCAATCACTCACTCGTTCATTCATTCTTTATTATATCTTGAAATTACTGCGGATCATCATTGATATCCATTCATCCTCATATGCATTTATTCATTGATAATAGCGTCATAAAAAGCTTCCTGGAAATCCCGGCATCAATGGTACCATATTTCAAATTGATCATACATGGCGACCCTGACACACATTGAATTCTATATATACATTAAATTATCCAGACAGAGGACGCACAAACGACTCAATCACATTAACAATGTGATTACTACGCTAACAGGTTACAAATCGTAAACACACCTCACTATCATATAATTACTTTCAGTCCGTATGAGTTCGTAGTGACATATTAATGGTTTCGTTTTCTGTATTAATAAATAATAAATAAATAACTGGGAACAAATCGCACACAGTCATCGGACCCCAAATTAATATTCCCTGTGTCGTGGCTACTTGACACTGACACACTTACTTATACACATTTAAAAATATACTTTAATAGATATTTATACACCTAGATAAAGAACAAACGAACCCACACACCCTTAGTCTAAGCTTAAGCTTAATGTTGTTCTGAATGAAATAAATGAAAAAATTAAATATATAGTACAGATTATAAAACAGTATTACCTTCATCAATATGCATTGCAACTGCCGAATGCTAATATGGTCTATAGATCCGGCACAAAATTTGCCGAAAAATTTCTTGGCACCCAGGGCCCGCAGATCATCGATAACGAAAGGCCACAGATGCAGCACGTTGTTCCTAGACATACGGTCACGCTTTTCCACCACCACCTGATAATATTGAAAAATACAAATCCACGTTTGTAAAAGCTGCTTTTTTTGTTTGTTTTGTTTAAAAAGACGTTCAAGAGATCGCTCTCTCTCGCACTTGTATCTTTAAATCGAGATGATATAATCGAGATGCTATAATCATCACTCATGGCTGCGGACTGGACACTCGAAAGTCGACTCATGAATCTAAATCGTCAAAATGTTTTTACATTCGTGGCTGTACTTTTGACGTATTCCTATATAAGCTGTAATCGTAATGTAGTGTAGTCACGATAAATATCTGACTAATCCCAAACATGACTCATGCCTTCGACAGCAGCATTACTGCTAGCATTAATGTTTACATTTTTGGGTGTAACGACACAGGGAAGATCTTCCAGATCTCCCTGAGCGAGCAAAATTGCTCGACGTCGGTCCAAATCTTACTTGTTCGGAACTTGTATGAAAATGTCGTTAGCGAAAATCAGGCATCTGTCAAATCTTGGGTTCAATGATAGCTTTTTTTATTGTTTAGATGGGTGGACGAGCTCACGGTCCAACTAGTGTTAAGCGGTTACCGGAGCCCATAGACACCTACAACGTAAATGCCTCCACGAAAATTAAAATTTTGCAGGTTTGATTTTTGTTACACGATGTTCCTTCACCGTGGAAGTCAATCGTGAACATTTGTTAAGTACATGTTTCATTAGAAAAATTGGCACCTGCCTGCGGGATTCGAACACCAGCACCGTCGCATCACTTGATACGAATGTACCGGGATTCTTATCCTTTAGGCCACGACGATTTCAGCTAACCCGCAACACCTTTTTTATACTTGGTTATTTTTGCTCCTCAAATTCTTCCTCTATATATTTTGGACAAACCTCTGTATCCAATAGAGAAAGTCACAGTGCTTCGAATATCTCTTCACCACAAAGGTTCACTGCGTTGACTAACTATTATAAAAAAATATTTTTTCTATATCTTTTAAAGTCAAAGCAGTTAGACTCGCGCTCTCCGTATAATGTTCTGAGATACTCACAACTTTAGCACCCAGAAGTTGACATTCTATAGCTGCCCGTAGCCCACAAGGTCCGGCGCCTATGATGAGTACTTTGGTTGTTGTGCACGAACGCCCTTTACTGTAGACCTTGTGATTGGCCCGGGCATCAAACTTTTTGAACAGTGCCTGAGCTTTCCACGAACTCGCTAGCTTCGCCTGAAATCAAAATTTATATGTAATTAATGAGGCGGTCGAGCTCTGTCTCATTAGCATTTGGTAGGCAGCGGCTTGGCTCTGCCCCTGGTATTGCTGAAGTCCATGGGCGACGGTAACCACTCACCATCAGGTGGACCGTATACTCGTCTGCTTACAAGGGCAATAAAAAAATATATAGCAAGATAGGTTGACGAACTCACGGCCCGTATAGTAAGTGGGAACCGAAGCCATAGGTAACATGAGGCATGTCACCACCAGCCTTGCTCGAGACAATAATTCAGTCTCATTGGAATTGAAAAAGGTTTTATATCAGGTTCGACCAACATAGGTAAAGTATTATGGTATCAAGAAGTCCAGAGACTAGACGTGTATGTACAAACTTTATTTCTTTGAAGTCTTGCAGATTACAATTATTATTGGCAACACCACTACGAGCATTGTTAATAGCACACGTTGACGGTAACATTTGATCCGATATCCCGTTAACAATCACAAGCGGACTTTTAATTAACGCCATCTAGTAAAGATTTGCTAAAACTATTTTAATCAGATCCTATAATATATGTAATTAAAACAATTCTCTTAAATACTGTCGTGATTTTTAAAACTAGAACTAGATGGAGCCACTCATAAAGCAATCAAGTTATTCGAATTTTACGGTTTATTAAAATAATGTTTTTAAGAGTTCTAAGATCGTTTTACATTCTAATCTGAAACGTACAAAAGTAAATTGTACTCTATTCTAGTTTCAGCGTACTATTCACAATACAATTAACGAAACTAAATTAGCAGATTTCAGTCGATACGAAAGCAGAGCTTGTCATATTTAAGAATTATAATATTTGACCTATGTGTGAATTTTAATCAATCTTATCTCCATTTACGTACAAATAATAATTACGTAGGTATTTATAGATTGCAGTCTACCTCTACATTTTCATTATTTATTATACTCCATTGGACCTAACAAGTACAATAGCTATTATCCTTTCTTAGTTAATTGTTCGTTCAACATTTTTCGAATGGATCGTTCGATAAGATTGCGAATTTTACTTGAGTATAGTTTTTTGTTTATGACGTTAACGTCTATAACGTTAGATCTATATATATAACGTAAATGCCGCCACCTACCTTGAGACTTTTAAGGTCTCAGTTATAGTTAGAACGGCTTTTGCACCCTTCAAACCGAAACGCATTACTGCTTCACGGCAGAAATAGGCGAGGCGGTGGTACCTACCCGTGCAGATTCACAAGAGGTCCTACCACCAGTAATTATGCAATTTATATATATAATACATGTAGAATTTAGCTGACGTGGACTAAAATCGTTCTGGTTTCAAGCGAATGGCATGTGCGTAAAACCAACACGATTGAATATTGCACATTTTCGTGTTTACGGACAACATTACGCAGTAACCAACTAAAACCAGCTCGGCTGTAAATTACATGATCCGAATATATAATTTCTAGTTAAACTGGAATGATTTGAAATTTCCTCGTCTTTGAAAGTTTTTTTTTTGTAGGCAGAAGAGCATACGGCCCACCTGATGGTGAGTGATTACCGTCGCCCATGGACTTCAGCAATACCAGGGACAGAGCCAAACCGCTGCCTACCGGTGCACTTTACTATACACGAGCCGTCACTATAACTAAGCACCCTTCAGATCAAACCATAACATTTACGTGTGTTCACTCATGCGTTGTATCGATCAGAACATACCTTCATTTTAATCGTACAAGCGTGGCCATAGATCTATAAACGATCATAACAGGTCATTTAAATATCGATGCAGGTTTACTAGCTTAGATAAAAATACTTTGATAATTTAATATCTTGTTCTTTTTACGATATCAGAGGCTTCGAATATTCAACGGTCAAGAACGAGTGACTAAAAGCTTTATTAAGAAGGGACAGATTTTTTTAAACAAACGGGGAATGGATTATGTCTGTCAGAAAATTTATTTTACTCCACCATTTCACTCTGTTTTTTTCATCTCCAATTTTCAGTTATTCTATTAGTATATAGTATATCTACATCTAGTATATAGTATATCTTTAAGAACGCCGATACATTATACCGTTAGATATCTTTCCTTTATTTCTCTCAAGGTAAGTAATGAACAGTAGGGCATGTATCAGTACTGCACTATAAATTTCCAACGTGCAATCTCCGTGTACAAATATGTGTGAATTTGACCTAGAGTGGTATTTCGAGTACATTCTCGTTTGCTGCTCCCCTATTTTATCAAGCCTTAGAATAAAGCGCAGATATTGTCTTTTATAATATTGGTTGATGTGACATTGCCATGTCAAATGGTAAAGATTTATTACAGGTCAAACAGCATCTGTTTGATTTGAACGGGGCTAATTTTTTTTATTTGCATAGCAGGATAGAAATTCAGAGTACAGTATTTTAAAGTTATCAGGCACCGAAAATAGAAAACCGGAAGGTAATTACACTGATACGCTAACAATTAACCACTTGATGATCGTATTTAATATATTTTTTTTATTGCTTAGATCGGTGGACGAGCTTACAGCCCACCTGGTGTTAAGTGGTTACTGGAGCCCATAGACATCCACAACGTAAATGCGCCACCCACCTTGAGATATAAGTTCTAAGGTCTCAAGTAAGTTACAACGGCTGCCGCACCCTTCAAACCGAAACGCATTACTGCTTCACGGCAGAATAATTGAAGGAAAGATACAGTGACTCAGTGATTGTTCTTCCAAATTTAAACACAAGCATAAAAATAAAAATAAGCTCAGCATTCGGGAAAGAGAAAAGGTACATACATATTACAAAAGTGCACAACAACATAGCGGATAGTGAAATCTGATTGGTCAAGGACCACTGTATTGAGATAGACGCAAAGCAATCACGTATGCCATTTGTGAAGGTAGGATAACATTTTCATAAGCACCTCTTATCTTTAAAGTCGGTGGTCGTTGGTGGACCGACGACCTAGTCAAAGTGGCTGGTAGGGACTGGATGCGAAAGGCAAAAGACCGAAAAGAATGGGATGTATCTGAAGAAACCTAGACTCAGCATTGGGTGGAGACGGATTGAAGAAAATATGTTTGAAGTTGAAGTCGTGGCTACAGTATTTATTACTTAAGCGGGTATACTACATAAATACTATTTGGCGGATATTAATATTTGATTTGAATTGTGTTTTTTTTTAATAGGTTAAAACCAGCCAGCAAGATACCTCAAGACATGCATGCAAGTCGAATGTCATTCGTTAACAATGTAAATGTTTACAAAAACGAGACAATTTTACTTAATTATCTTGTATCTATTACTGGAGGTTTCAGAACATTGGTGATACGAACACTAAGCTAATCTTTATCCAGGTTAGAAATGATTTGTTAATAATTTATCTCGCAAAGCAATACTGTTTTCCCGTTCGACAAGTAGCATACACATCATTCTAATGTTATCAAAACCACACAATCTGGTCTCGAGGTTGGTTGGACTGACATAAATTTTCTTTTTCATATTTTAATACGCACTACGCACTTTTAATAACGCAGGCAACAATAAAAATAGTACAACAAAAAAAAATCGCATAAGCACATTGAGCGGTGCGTGATAGGTTCATAATTAACAATCGCAAAGAATGTCGCTTTAGCGGGAGGACTACATTGCAAAAGAAATGAATTATAAAACAAACAAAAAAACTCATTCGCTAACTTTAGAACAAAAAAATCAATCACTGAGTCACGTTTTATCAACACCCCTCAAGATAACGGGGATATCGCACAATTGCTAATTACGATAAGCCAGCAATTACGAACATCCTATATCAATAATTTGAAATATGCACTCGAAAACCGCGCAACCTGTATTATATTACCATTTTTCAGAAACTACAACAATGTAGGTATATCTAATATATAAAATTCTCGTGTCACAATGTTCGTTCCCATACTCCTCCGAAACCGCTTGACCGATTCTCATGAATTTTTTTATGCATATTCAGTAAGCCTGAGAATCGGCTACTATCTATTTTTCATACCCCTAAGTGATTAGGGTTGTCCACCCCTAACATATTTTTTTTTATTTGGACATTTTTTTTTGTTATAATGAGGTATTATGTGATTGAATGAGATTTTGTTATTTTTATTATATATTCCCTCATCGTTCACAGCGCTACATACCTCTTTCACTCATTTACCACATCCTTACACACTTACAATAAGTTAGTTTTTTTTTCTACACTAGAAATTCCCTAGAAATCTTATTTATGGCAAAACAATGTTTGCCGGGTCAGCTAGTACTCTTTATATTACAAACGATACCTATTGAAGAGATAAAACATGAATAATTATATTCTGATATTTTACTTTTGGAGTGATATCTTATTATACTTTGTGTGCGGATTATAGGAAAAGCGCTTTTGATAATTTAACAAAAATCAAAACATAAAAAGGCGAAATCTCTTTAATGTCATAGTTTATGGAATTTTTATGTAATGTACAATGTAATTCAATTTATAGCATTGTATTAATTTCTAAAAAGCGGATTTCGTTATAGAGCTTGCGAGGTTGATGTGAACAGTAACGTCATTAAATACTCCATGTACCTAATGCTAAATTAAAATGCTTATATGTTTTTTATTTTCCTAACCCAGACAAGAAATAAAAAAAATATCAGTCAACAGGCCGGCGCCCTAATTTCCTTTGTATTTGCTTATGAAAATATGTGTTATTTCTAGAAAAACTTACTTAGAAAAAAAATCCTTAAATATGTATTATTTTAGAAACAACTGTTCATTATTTAAGATATAAAGAGTAGTTTTAGACATAATTAACAAAAACAAAATTTTTTTCTTTTTCTTTTTTTAAATTTCGTTTCGATATCTTTAAAATATTTGTAACGCAGTGTATTCAGTGATGCCGTAAGCCCTTAATCTGGATAGATCACTGTTACAATTAACAATAGCAAGCTGCCTACCTACACAACAGTAGTAGTTCTGCGTCTGACACGCGTTCT